CGCATTTGTACTACCAGCATTAATTGTTCAATGATTGGTCCTCTCATCTCTAGCAAGAGCAGAGGGAAGAACCTGTTGTCTTTCGGTGTAGAATTGAATGGCTTTTTTACTGTAGCTGAAACCACTGCTGCCCTTTTCTCATTCTCAGTATAGCAAAAAGATGAACTTATCACCTCCACAGCATCAGAATTTGAGATATTTAAATCTTTCTGGGCTAAACTAATGCCTTGAGAGTGTAAAACAGGGCTCTGAAGCACGCGGTAGTCGTATATACTTTTTTCACAAAGGAGATAAGAGATGAAGAAATTAAAAGTAACATAGGAGGTCCTGAAATTGGGAGACTCATATCTGTGGTAGCCTAGGCAAAATACTAGGAAAATGTACTGAGTATATTGATGGTTAACTTCTGTAAAGGAGACAGTGGCCTACATTTTGGTGCCTCTTGCTTACTTGCCAATGTAGCAATGGAACAAGGGTGGCATATAAGTGTATGCTGCAGCCTGTCTGCATTTACAGATGTAGAGATTTCACTCCATGAATGAAGTGAATCTCACATCTGTGTTCGTCAGTAATTCTCTCTGATTTTCAGTCAATTGTCCTGAACAGATGTTTCAAGTTGATGGAGCAGCAGTAATGTACTCTTCAAATGGAAAAGGGAGGCTTTATGCAGTGATTGCAAATGTTCTGTGAATCAGAACGATCACCCTTTTATACTTGCTGCCTACTGCAGTACTGGTGTATTTCCAGCCTGGAAGAGGCTTGGGGGTTTTTGTGTACGTTGTGTTGTACTTGGAGTGGTTATTGTAAGAATTCTTGGGGAAAAAAAGTCCACTATTTGAATGATCAATAACTCATTTATAGAACACTTTTTAAGCATTGATTTCTTTTTGTCCTATTTGTGAAGCCTTTATTCTCCATCTTTACCTTCTCTGTATAACCAACAGCTATGCAGCAGGAAAAGTCTTGGCTTGGGCTTCTGAATATGCGATCAGTTACTGTACACAGCTGGTTCTGAAGATTTTAGTCTTGCTCTGAGAAAGCAAAAATGTTAAACTAGTGAGTTAATTAAGAGTTCATTCTTTATTTATTTGGCTAATTCTAGAGCTTCATGTTAAATTTCTAGATCGATCCTTAGTGATGTCATGCAGTGTGTTGAAAGAAATGCTGAATACAGTCAAAATGAAAGCGAAGGAGGGAGTGCTTGCTAAAAGCAGGTTTTGTAGGAAGAGGCTAAAATAAAATGCATTAGTTGGTTCTACCCTTGTACTGTAATTAAACCAAAGTAATTAAGCTACTGAAAGAGCGTGCTTCTTTCTTTTCAAGATTTCCTGTGCATCTCTGAGCCCACCGTTTGTCTTTTGAGTTCCTTCAGAAGTGTCTCATGCTATACAGAACTGCACACAGCGTGGGGAAAAACAAACACAAAAAAAGCCGGAAATCGACGTTTCAATTTCTCACTTGTCTGGCTAAATAGAGTTATCTTAAGCCTCCCTCTTGGAAATAGCATGTTAGTTAAGTAGTAGCTATAAGCAGAATGGTTGTTTATTTGGCATGGTTTTGTTTCTTTGAAAATTCTCCTACATTTCATATGCAAAGCTACAATCTGGAGCATAGCAATTGTCTAATTCCCTAATATCACCAAGAATTCATACATTGCCCGTGCATACATTTCATATCTCTCTGACTGCATGAAAGTAAAATGCGGACTGTGATTTGCAAGTTGTTGGTACTCTGAGTCATTGACCTAAAAAGAGGTGGAACTTAAATGGTGTAAGGTTTTTCTGTCACATAGGTCAAAGAAGAGGAGGTAATTTTGTTCAGTTTGCAAAGCTCAGCAGGAACCTGAAGTATGATCAATACCACGTAATACATTGCAAAGCACTGTGGAAACAAAAATCTAATACTTTGGAAGTCCCTTAAGGAGGCTTCTAACTAATATGGGTTGTCCTGCGGAAGCTTGACTTCAAAATAACATCTTAAATTTTGTGGAAGCAGCATGATAAGGACAATTAATTGAGTTTATTAAAAAGGTATAAATGAGAGCGGATGCAAATAACCGTAAAAACATAAATGACCAAATCAGAACATGGACTAGAGAAGGCAGATACTGGAAATATATGGTATATTATATATATGATTATATGATATATAATATATATGATACTGGAAAGCAAGTTTCTTAAATAATTGTACATTGCCTCTGACGGAGGGGAAAGAACCATTTGAGCCACAGGTATCGTTGTCTGAATTAAAGATGCAGTAATTCTTTAACAGTCTTCAGAGGTTCTGCCCTCACCTGCCCCAAGTGCACTCAGCCCTCATGTAAGACACAAGAGGGCTGAGTTTTTAGTTTGATCTGGAGGGAGATGTGAATTACGAAACCAGGTGTAATTAGGGCAGCACATACTGCCCTTTGTTCTGGCACTACCAGGTTGAGCAGAGTTTGCGTCAGCTCTCCAAACTGGTTTGCTGGGGCTAACAGTGCTTGAGCCAGTAGAGCCGTGGAGGTGGTGGTGTGACTGCCCTGAGCATGGGGCTGAAATGCCTTTGGTTATGCAGAAGCCAGCACTGCTGCTGGAGCTGGGCAATATGCACTGTAAGCCTTCATTACACAGCTGCTGGTAACAGGCACTGTGCAAACTGGAGAGCCCACCTAGTACATGGAGTACATAACGCTGAATTAAATACCAATATACTGCCATAAATAGTAGTTAATAGTAGTTAATGTACAGAAGTGAGTGTCTGTCTTAGGGTCCTATAAAAAACTTTTTTTTTAGGGATTGATCTTTGGGAAAGATGAAGGCAGCTAGTGAAAGTAGGATGGCAAAAACGTGTAAATTTGCTGCACGGAAGGGACCAAAGCTGTGGGTTGCTTGCCAACTGCTGCATTAAGGATGAGATGGCTGAAACCTTCTTCTGAAGTGCTGAAGTCAGTGCGTTTCTGCTGAGACACCAGCTTATTAACATGTTGCTGGTGCTATTATTTCTTTGCTAGATGCAGGGAGTAGTGTTCTAATCCTGTTTGTAAAGACTTCAAGACATTTTAACAGCATCACTTTTCTAAAGCGTGCATGATGAAATTTAGTAGCATGCACTTAAATGGACATCAATTTGATAATATAAAATGGAATGTGTATTTATTATAGCTGTTTATTTACACTTCTGTTGTTTCCACGTGGAATTTGTGAGTTTAGCATTGCTGATGGTGTGTTGCATTTCCTTTCCCATGGTAACTCTTCTGTGTTTTTCTGTGCTATCTTCTCAATGCCCCCTCTGTGGATGCTGCAGAAATATATTGGCATCCATGAATCCAAAATGTAGAGGACTAAGAGGCAGGTATTATGTATAGGAAAGAAAAGGGTGGGGTAGGTAAGCATAAACATGTTTGTTTCTCCTTGCCTGTGACTCACTTCTTCACAACAGAAGGATTTTCAAAAGGAGCAGAGTGCTAATTGAAAGCAAACAGGAAGTAAAAATAATTCTCTGCACTCAACCATGAGGGTGGAATACTTTCAGACAAGTAAATTAATGAGCTAATTAATTTGATTGACTTTAAACCTATAACTGTCACAAAAGCCACATAACTATTATTTATACTAATATATAATATTTTATAACACAGTACTGTTTAGGGGGGATAGGTCTGATGATTACTGCAGTGAAAACAGCCAATATTTCTTGATCTGTCCTTAATTCATCCTGATGGACATATGACTAATTGATATTTTTTTCTAATTTAAGATCAAAGGCATATCTCTTGAGTAGAAGTCTTTCATGTGCTGCTAGTCGTTCTGTCATTACCTCCATCTAGCTGAGTTTGCCTGTTTTGGCATTTGCCTTGATTGCTGTATTGAGTCCCATCCTGTGGACCCAGTTGCACTGAAGCTGTCAGGTGCTGAAGATAAGCATGTCAGATATGTATCATGTGCTTGGAGTCATGTTCCAAGATGAGGTTTGAAATGTACTAGTGCTGGTCTCATCACTTTTAAACCCAAGTTTTCCTTCAATGTTTTTAGTATATCTTTTTTTTTTTTTTTTTTTGGAGGAGTGTGATGATAGAGACAAAAGCAAGTTGCTTTTTCTTTACTGAATCCTCAAACAAAAAAAAATCTTGAGTTGCTTTTATAGGTAAGACATGGGAATATGCTCATTTCCGGAGGCAGCACGTGGCCTCCCACCTTCTACTTGATGAGTTTCCTTACAAGTGCAGGAAGTCAGGGACTTCTGATGTCCCATAAGGATCCTTTAATAACCACTGTCACCTTGAAGTTCTGCCCATGGCCCACATGTGCACTTCAGCTGCATCTGGCTGCCTAATAATATGGCAGTCCCTCTCTCACGCTGCCTGCTGATCAGGTCTCAGCTGGTGACTCGCTTGCCAGGTGGCCTCTCCTAGATGGGGCAGTTCCCCTTGTGTCATAAGCCACTTAAGATTCAGTAAGTTGCTATTAGAATTTAATTAACTCTACAAATGGATATTTACAAAGGTACCTGACGATGAATCGATCCTAGGATTAACATAATGGTGTGGACTAGTTTCCCTGAGAAGTAAAAGCATCCTAATTTTGTTTTCCTTAGTTTCAGTCAGGTGTTGTTATAGTTCCTGAATCCTGTCATCTTCCAAAGAATTTCTTTTCACTCTCAGTCCTTGCTCTCCTGGGCACATTTGTATTGCGCGAGTCGGGCACCTTCACCTCATACAGTTGAAATCCTCATACTGATGAACAGATTCTTATGTACGTGTGGCAAAAGGTATTGCCAAGGTGATCTCATCCTTTCCATGCAGGTACTGTCAAACAACTAAAACATAAAAATATTTGTTGTTTATGTGAAGGTGTTACATTCTGAGGAGAATATCTTGAGTTCAGTGCATTAGTTCTCCTCTACGTTGGGCATCAAGCTATATTTTGAAGCAAATTCAATTTTACTGATACTTCAGTTTCAACATACTTGTTCTATTTCTCCAGGTAACATCATGTTCTTTTTGTTTGTTTTTGCAGTTCTATCTTCAAGACACTAAAAGTAGTAATGGTACCTTTATTAATAGCCAGAGACTGAGTAGAGGGTCTGAGGAGAGCCCACCATGTGAGATAATGTCAGGTGACATCATCCAGTTCGGTGTAGATGTGACGGAGAACACACGGAAAGGTAAGGGTATGGATCACTTTCTGTTTTTGTTTTTCCAGTGTACTTATTTACAATATCGTACTGCAGTGTGATCTTTTACAGTGGGAATACTATTTACTCTTAGAAAACATTTTCCTTATTGCTTCTTTTCCCTCCGTTGTGCTGGCAGTGAGTCTTGTGACTGCGTGGTGCACTGCATAAAGAAATGGATTTGCTGAAAACACTGAATCTGTCCTTCCTCCCACTCAGCCAGGTCTTTCAGTTGGCTTGCTTCCTCGGGCCACCTTCTTCTGCAGCTGTGTGGGTGCTTATGTGCATTTCAATAGGCGATGGAAATGCAGAGCTGGGATGGCACCACTGTTCTGATGCTGTCTCACTTCAGTTGACTTACAGCAGTTCTGAAAGTGCAGTTTGAGTGTATGTGTACAGGGGGTGTGTGTGTAGTGTTGGGGGGTTTTGTTTGTTTGGGATTCCTGGATGTTTAGTTGGTATTGTTTGGGAGTTATTTAAAATGTTACTTGATGTAACGTGAGTGCAAATATTAATTAATAATAGCAGTATATGTGAAGTAGATCCAAAGGATACTTTACATCTTTAATAAACCTGGGGCTGAGTGGGGCTGTCCTCACTAAAGGGGCCAAACTTGTTCATGTATATTTAGACGTAGAACAATTTTGAAGATTTTTTTTTAGAAGGTAAAAATGGAGTTCATTTGTTTTTATTGGTGATGATTTGCAATTAATGTATGTGAAAGTCTGTAGAAAGCTCATTGGAATGACAGTAGCAGTTCTTCCCCATGGCTCTGTTAGTATGACAGGACACAGCCCCTCTGCCTGTGCAGTCTGGTTCTGCTGCCTTCCTTTGCTCTTCCCAGCTTTGAAGATAGGAACTGCACTCGGCGCTGCTCCCAACGCGCTGAGCCAGCTGGTGGGGAAGAGCGTTTGAGGTCTGTGTTTCCCTCTTGCACGTCCCCAAGCAATGAATGAAAATTGTATCATCATGCAGGGGCACGAAACAGCTGCATCACAGTTACAGCGGTTACACACGAATGCAGCTGGAATGCAGACAAACACATTTTTCTCCCCCGGTTCATTTCAGTAATCTTAGATGTTACTGTTAGCTTAATCTTGTAATAAAGCGCCGACATGAAAGCCGGTTTTAAATTAGTGGTTCCCTTTGAGGCCCTTTTGCATACTGATATTTGTATGATGCATCTCAGCACTTTTCCATGTGCATTAGGGACAGGCAGCACGAACAGCCTATGTAAATTGCCATTTGTGTAAATATCGCTGGAAGATGTTTATTTCCGTGCCGTTGTTCGGGCTGCCTTTTGGGAAGTCATTTCCTTGCAAATCCGATCTCCGCTGGGTCTCGAGGAGCGCGGCACGCTCACAGTGTGCTGGTTCGGGACGTCTTACATAAGCGGCGGTTCTTCCAAGCTGTGCCGCGGAGCCGAAGCCGTTGCCAGGCCCGGCGAGGCTCGCAGCTGCCGCTTCCTTTTTTGTCGCTGCGGCTCCCGGCACCAGCCCCGCTCCGTTCCCCCTCCGGGCCGCGGCGCCGCCCGCCCGTCACCCCTCCAGCTCCGCTTCCGTGTCCTCGGCGCCGCCTCGGCGTCCCCCGGGTGCCGGGATCGGCGCACGGCGTGGCGGGCGGCAGCGGGCACCGAGTCGGGCGGCCGGCGCCCCGTGAGCCGCTGGCAGCGCGGCCCGCGCCCTCGTTCCCGTGGCGGCGGACGCGTGCTGCTCGGGCGCGGCTGTGCCGCCGGAGGACGGCCGAGCGCTTTCGAGAGAAAAGCCGCACAAACTCTTGATTCCCCCTCCGCGCTGCCCTGCCGTCGGTCCGATGCCGCTCCGTTAGCTCGCGGCGTGCCGGCACGGTCGCGGCCCCGTTTCCCGGCGTCCCGGCTCGGCTCCTCGGGCGCGGATCGCCCCCTGCCGTGCGCAGCCGGCCCGGTTCCGCAGCTCCCTTTCCGCGCTCCCGCAGCCCGGGCCGGCGCGGTGCGAGCCGCTGTGCCCGAGGTGAGTGCGGGGCGCGGGGGAGCGCGGCGTGCGGCTCTGCCTTCTGCCTTCCCTCGAGGGATTGACGATAGAGACGGGGCGTGCGGTGATCCCTGCTGCCGTAGCCAGCCATCGCTATTCCAGCGTCCTGTATGTTGCTTTAGGCTTTGTTTTTTCTTCTGTTTGTCGTGACTTGATAGCTGAAGGATAGCATGTGATTTAATTGTAATTTTATTCTATAAATCAATCAAAATGCTACAGTACTTTCTTACGGGTACTGTTTATAGCCTCTACTAAATCACCTTTATCTCTTCTCTGTTTTTTTGTTTTGTTTTTGTTTTTTAATATATGAAAAAAGCTTCTGCAGCTTTTGGTACATTTAATTTGAGTGTTTTAAAGGGAAGAACTTCAGAATCCTGTTACGTCATGGCAGAGCTGCTTGGTATCCAGTACATGGCTCAGTGCTAAGGCTGGCTCTTAGCTTTGGTTTTTGGTACCCTCCTACTTTCTTCCTGAAATCAGTGTTTCCTCCCTATACTTTAAAGGAAAGGATCCTTCGCTGTGAAAGCTGTTTAAGCGTGCATGCCACAGATAACATTGCTGCTGGTTTTTGTTGTGTTGTCAAGAGCAAACTGGTGAATTGCAGACCCTTTATCTGGACACCTCAGGGCCAAAAAAAAAAAAAAAAAAGACCCCATGGATTGATCTGATCTGAGATGGGTCTGATCTTCCCTGGCAAGTACGCTTCATGTTGTACCAGGGGAGTTTACCACAGTTAGGGAACAAATCAGATGCTTCACTGTTGTGTTTAGCTTTTAGTGCTGAACGCAAGGAAGAAGCTCTGTTTAGTTGGATCATCCCTCCTGTATTTTTAGATTCTATTTGTGGCAGCTTCCTCAAAGACCTCTCTCTTTTCCCTGGAGTACTACTGTTGTCCTAAAACACTCTTTGTCCTTTTTATACTAAGCCAGATTAGCTATTTTACTGATATTAATAACTGTGAAAGTAGAGCAGCTCAAGTGTTGGTAGGTTCTTCAGGTATAGCAATCAAGGGCCGTATGCTTGTACGCAGCTCGCTGCGGTGCTTTGGGAACAACTTCCATCTTTCCATCTGTGTTACTGAGAAGATGCACTCCACAATTCATAGCACTGCACAGGAGGAAGAAGAAAAGCAAAACTCCACTGTAATTTGTTTGAGGGTTTCCTGAAATGGTGTCAGTACAGTTTTGAGGAAACACTGTGATGTTTAAAGAATGTTTGAAGAATCTTGAGTACTTGAAGATCACATTCTGTTTACTCCTCTTATTCTTTTAGGATCTTTTGTCAGTTCAGAGAATCCCGAATTCAGTTCCAGGGCAGCACGCTCTGTCTCTGAAAGGAGAGGCCACTTGTTAGGGCAGTGTGCTTTACATACACACTACAAACACACTGCCTCAGAGGCATTCTTCTGAATGCTGCTGGTATTGGCAGTGCTGAAGAGAATGTGCTCCTGTGTTGTTCATGGACTCTTCCTCTGATCTCCCTTTTGATTGCTGTGTTTGTGAATAGCGATCACTTGGCAAGTTCCAAAGGCTGAAGTGTTTGGTGGCACAAATTAGATGTGTTAGCTTTGAAGTCTCTGGATATGTTCACAAGAATCGTGTCAAAAAGCTGGCTCATTATTGCATTGCTATTTCTGTGTTCCCATTAACGCAGGTAAGATGCATAATTTTCCCCCTCATTTTATGAACCAAACGTACCGCTTTAGCTCACTGCAGTAAAGAAGTCTTGCTGGCCTTGCTGCATTCAGAGTCGTCGGGGTTGGAGCTGCTTGGTAGGCCAGAAACAAGTACCCAGCATGACCTCTTTGAGTTTCTCTTGGTAAAGTTTCCATTCTCTGAGGAGGTCTGAGCAGACAGACCAAGCCACCAATGCCTGAAGGCTTGCTTGCCTTTTCTTGTTCACCTGCCTTAGAGTTTAAGACAGTTACTGTATTTTTAACCATGGGACTTATAATTGAATAGTGACAAATCATGATGATGTGCTGTTTGTTTCTTTTCAGTTACTCATGGATGTATAGTCTCCACAATCAAACTGTTTCTTCCAGATGGAATGGAAGCTCGATTGCGATCTGAGTAAGAATAAGCGTCTGTTTGCATATGGCAAAATTAGATTTCTGTGTAGTGAGGATTTGATGGATATTACATTTAAAATTGGCATAAGAACAGTTTCTTTGTATGTGTTCAAGTAAATAAAATTACTGAGAACATGGTTCTTTTGCAGGCATTATGAAAAATAAATCTCATTTGATTGTCACTTTGAGAAATCGAGGCAGCCCTGAAAGCATAAAGAAGTTCTTACTGAGTTGGATTCTCTGATTGGCCGTGTTTCTCAGGATACTGAAATGAATATTGAAAACAAAAATATAGGAGCAAAATGAAGCAAATGAGCCATTCCCCTTCCCTCTTTTATAATTTGGCATTGTTGTTTCCGTTCCTTTAAATGCACATAGGCTCTCCTAAAGTGAAGCTAATATCTCTGTTTCTGCACACGTGTACACGTAACACTGTTTATATTCTTCAGATAAGCAATGTAATGTTTCCTCATGGTGTAGTTGTTCAGTGTTACTGTGAAAGTAAACTTTACCTGACATTGGGGAAATTGAGTAAGGCTGGATAAAAGAATATTTGGAAACTCAGATGAATGCCAAGAGACTTCTCTGCGCACATGCTGGTATTGGAGAAAACTTCAAAGAGTAATAGAAACAAAAACTAGTTTGGTTTTTTTGCAGTAACTAACTGACAATTACAACCAACATAATTTTAATCAGCTTTCATCCTCAGCAATTCTATGTTTCTCATTACTTAAATATTCTTACAGTATCAGTATCCAGAAAGCTCGCATGAAGCTTTATCTTTTGTTTCATGGAAAGCTAGAGCTGAATAGAGCAGTATGGGAAATCTTCAGTGTAATTCATGTGCTAATACGAAATGTAGGAATGTGTGATGGGGAGTTTTGATTCCTGTTGAAAATGTGCAAGTGTACAAAGCTGTGGAAGTTGCCAAGCTTTGTTACTCCATATGAATCTGTGAACAAGAGTACCAGATCAGATGCCTTCCTGGGAGTGTTGTTCTGTGCATGTGGGTTGGTGGAAGCCTTACTAAAATGGTTACAAATCAAATATGGAAGTTACACATCCAAAAAGAACTACTCAAAGTAAAAGTTGGTAAAATGTATTTTTAGAACACATCTTGGATTTATAGCTTGAAAATAGTTCTGTAAATTCAAAAATGTGCCCTAGCATAGTATTAACCATTTTTACATGATTGTGTTGTAAATTCTTCAGTTTTATCACAAGAAGTAACTTCATTACAAGGCATCTTGATGAAATGCACAGTGATTTGTGAACTGATATTCTGTAGCATAAATACTTTATATTTACTTTTTCTTTTTTTGTTTGTTTTCAAGTGTTATCCATGCTCCATTACCAAGTCCTGTTGATAAGGTAATCCAGTAATTTGTTGCTTTTTGCCTTACTCTACCCTGTGCTGTATTCTGACTTGTTAAAAAGATGAAGTGAGCATGAAGTCCAGTTGCATTTAACTGTGTTTCCTACTGGACTGATTTGAGCTAGTTTTAAATTTTGAGTGGCATTTCTGTAGGGAAGGAACAGCAGTACCAAAGTGTATATTTATGGTAGTTTGGCTTCATAGGTGGAGTATGGCATCTGAAACATAGCTTCAGAAAACCTAGTGCTATTGAGAGGGTTCAATTCCAGATACGTCTGTGATTAACAGACAGTGGTACTGCATAATTTGATACTTGGTCTGTTCTGTGGGACCCAAGAGTAGATCCTGTTTCATGGTTTGGTGTTCGGATGAGGTCTGTTGTCTTTTATCTTGCTCTCATGGGGGATTGGTTGCACGATGCAGGCTAGGAAGAGCTCTGGTATGTTCCAGAGGAAGACTGAGAGACCTCTGCACTCCTGTTGTACAGATACAGCCAGATCTTTTCACTCTAAAGTCAATAAAGCGTGGTGCAGTTGTTAAACTCAGTTTTGATACTGTAGGGTTCCTCTCTAGGAGGTGTTAAAAGGTATTACTAGCCTGGGACAGGTGTCCGTTATTTGACTGTCTAGCCTGTAAAAACAAAACAAAAAAAGGATTGACAAAGGTTCAAATCAACCAACATTTTCAATGCAAAAAACAAAATTTTTAGAAATTAAGGAAGCTTCTTTACGAAGTCATCAGTCACTTGCATTTAAGTCAGGGTTTCAGTCAGTGTGTGTAGTGTGAGTGCGTGGTGAGGGCAGAAGTTCTGCAGGGCACTGTAGTGTAATTGTGTGGGAAATGGTTTCTCAGTGGTATCAGTGCACGTAACAGTAACAACAAACCACCCCACCTCCTTAACCCTAAATGCACAATGGTTTCTGGCACTGGGAGAAGTATAGAGTTAAATAAAGACTTGGCAAAACAACACACTTTCTTAAGCCTGGCTGAGGCGGGGCACTGAATGGCGTAATTTTCTTTAATTGAATTTGTATTAAAATCAAATGAAGTGATGGTGCTGAAACGCAGCAAGAACAGTTACACATTAAGGTAATGCAGGTAGTCCCTAGCTGTGAAGTTAGGAGCAAAGAGTGAAGGTGGTGGAGTTAGGACAGCAGAAAATGTGTGATGAAATCTTGCGTGGTAGGAGTGAGGAACAAAGCACATTGAATTGGAATATGAGAAAATTGCCATTTCTGGACATACACCCCCCCCAATTTCTATTTGTCCTTAGATTGAATGGCTTCACTTTTGTGCACCTTGTTTCTTTTGTCAGATTGTCTTTTGTTAGAGCTGAGGTTAAGCTGTTTACTACTATGTTTCAAAAGCTTGTAAAGACATTAGCATGGTGTGGTCTTAGTCCAGAGTGGTGAAGTTCTGTGTTAACATGAAACAAAATGACAGTAGGATAAAAATGATTGAAAACATCATTAGTTTGATAACAAATTTACCTTCCTGACTGGATTTAAATTATAAACTTTGCCTTATTTGAGTCTAATGGAAGATCCAGAAACATTTAGATTCATAAATTCTCTTGTTCCTCAGGTTGCTGCTAACACGCCCAGTATGTATTCTCAGGAATTGTTTCAGCTTTCACAGTATCTACAGGTAATTTTTTTTTTCATGGCATCATTAACTTGATTAAATATTTAATCTTTGATTGATTAAAAAAAAAAAAAAAAAAAAAGTGTCTATTTGTCTTCCAGTTTGTAAACAGGAGCAAAGCACTTAACTACCTTATTCTATAGTGAAACAGTGTACAAAGTGTTATAATTGAACATAACATAGCTCCATGTAAGCTTCTGGGGTTCTTAATGAGCAATATGAACTGTGGCTTTCATATAAGGTGAAATGGTAATAGTGATTTTTATTCCAATTAATTATGAAATTTTTGAGACATATTAATTTTGGATTCATGTGCTGAAATAGCAGGAAGCATCTCAGGCAGATGCTCTTCCATGAGAGGGCAAATTCAGAGCTATTTACCAGTCTGTTCACTCTTGTATCCTGGAATTGTTAAAAATTCCTTGCTGACCCAAAATAAATTCAAACAAAAATAGCAATTCTTGCATGGCATTTATTTTCTGTGACCTGATTTAGGGACTGGCAGCTCAGGATTTGGCAGCACAGGAGCTGCCAAATCTGCCTTCTGGTGGGTACACCAATTTTACTGCTGAAATTAGTGACAAAAGTTCAGAGTGGGTACACTATTGAGAAGTCTTGGAATTGTTTACTGTGTGTGCTCTGCGTGTGCAGTATATGCTTGACAAATTAACCTTTTTGGGAACCTGAGGTTGTAAGATAACATTTTCTAGTGGAAATATCCAAATGGAAGTCTGGATGAATAAAACGGGATGGTTTTACTGAAGTTTTGAATATGTGACAATGTGTGCTGCTCACACTTAATTTTTCCCTTTAAATTTAGCGTTATTTGGTATCTTCTCTATTGCTTCTGTTTTTGAGTTGCACTAGCAGAACTGACCAGTTGGCTTTCTTGGTCTCATCATAGGAAGCTTTACATCGGGAACAAATGTTGGAACAGAAGCTGGCAACCCTTCAGCGACTACTTGCTGTTACACAAGAGGCTTCCGATACTAGTTGGCAGGTACCAGAAAGCATCCTTTCCCTTTATAGGCTGAAAAAATTGCAAAATACAATTTGTATCTATTGCTTTTTAAATGACCTGGAAAACAAACTAAAGAATAAAAAGCATTTTGTGGTTCTCAAACTGTGCAAAAGACTGCATTTAATAAGTTTAATGTACAGGTTGAAATAACTTTTAATGATATTTATTGATTATTTAATTGATTATGTGATTATTTAATTGATAGGACAAGGGGGAATGGTTTTAAACTGAGATGGGGAGGTTTAGGTTAGATATTAGGAAGAAATTTTTCACACAGAGGGTGATTGCCCAAGGAGGTTGCGGATGCCCCATCACTGGAGGCATTCAAGGCCAGGCTGGATGTGGCTCTGAGTAGCCTGGTCTGCTGGTTGGTGACCCTGCCTGTGGTAGGGAGTTGAAACTAGATGATCTTTTTTTATGGTCCTTTTCAACCCAGGCCATTCTGTGATAAATATGCCAGTACTGTGACTCTAAAGCAGAAGTATACTGGAATTACTTAAAACACAGTGTTCTGTTGAAATGGTCTATTTGTTTTGCCATGACTAATATTAATATGAAGTGAAACTTCTTCTCTTTTAGGCTTTAATAGATGAAGACAGGCTGCTATCAAGGTTAGAGGTTATGGGTAATCAGTTACAAGCATGTTCAAAGGTCAGTAATTCATTAGTAGAACTCCATATTAGAATACTGAAAGATAGCTCTTCTGAAGTATTTTGAAATGAGGCACTCAAAAAAGCAGTTAGAACACAAACTTCCTCATATGGGACTGTGCTGTGTAGTTTTGATAATTGCTTGAAAATTGTAGGGCTGTTATGTATTTTATGGAATCATTTTAAATTTAGATAAATGGTTATCTATCAGCATTTTTTGAGCCCAAACTGGTTTTTCTTTTCGTATCTAGAAAAGGAATTTGTCATCTGTGAGAAGCAACCAATCTGTCAGCCCTGTTTTCTTTTCAAATATGGATTTGAAAAAAGGCATTGTAAATATGCTGATATTCAGAAGCAAAGTAAAAAGAATACCCTGGCTTGTATGTTATTCAGGCCATGTATGCCTTAATTTTTTTTCCTTCCTCACAACTACCTAGATTATATACATACATATATATATATTTTTTTTTTTGCAGGCCCTGTCTGAGATCTCTCAAATGGGACCTCAGAGGGTTTGGGTTTGTCTAACAGTAGGACTTCTAGGCATGACACTATTTTGTGCCGCAAAAAATTACAGTTTTTCTGTGTTCAAAGAATTACAGATGTATGCTGTTGTACATACAGGTGGTTTATACCCAGATGTATCAAGAATCCTTGTTCAGTTATTTACCTGCAACGTTTTCTCGTTTACCAGCAACTGCCAAACATTTTGGAGTAGAACATTTTTTGGAATAAAATAGATTTTAGCACAATCTCACATATTTAATCAGCAAAATGTTAATTTATATTTTTTGTATTTCAATTGCATGTCCAGAATCAAACAGAAGACAGTATACGAAAAGAGCTTATAGCATTACAAGAAGACAAACACAACTATGAGACAACAGCCAAAGAGTCCCTGAGGCGGGTCCTACAGGAGAAAATTGAAGTGGTCAGAAAGCTGTCTGAAGTGGAGGTACTGATGTTTCTTAACTGATTTGCTGGAAATACAGAAATACTTGCAACTGCTGCTATTTAGATCCATGTTTATTGCCTGTAACAGGCCAGTGTCTGTCATATTGTGGCACTTGCAGTATATTAAACAGAGCTGTTTATTTCTTAGATGCTAATCTTAGGTTTAAACTGTTAATGGGGATCTTTAAACTCTGCTTTTTTCCCCCACTCTTGAAAAATAGTAAGCTTTCTTAATATATTTAGTATGTCTGGGAAATAAGTGAGGGTGAGAATAACACATGCTTTAGAAAAAATGCTATTAGACCTTGTTTAAATCATAAAAATTGTGGAAATGTAAGCTTAACTGCTCAAAGCATGCTTAAGAATGAGCTTTTCAGATCACAATGTGTTGGATTCTTTCTTTAAATAGGATTTCTGTCCCTATGATAGTCTCATTGCTATTTTTTTCACTGTCATTTTCACTTTCAATCCTTATTTGCTGTGATCAAGGTCAATAAATGTCTGAGGACTTGATTATTATGTTCACAAAGTGTGTACACACTTCATGCTTTATAGAGAATGCAGTGCAGTTAGTGCTGTAGTAAGTAATCTTAGAGAGTCAAATACATCCTTGTATATTGTAACAGTTATTGACAGGTTTGTTAATGGTTGGAGTTCTATGTTTCCTCCAAGCTTTCTCCTCCTTTCCAATCCTGTTCTAAGAAAAGAATGCTCTGACTCTTCCATTATTCTTTTTCCTTTTCAGTTTGACTCTTGGTGGAGAAATATTAATTTAACCTCAGTATGGAGTTTCCTTGCATGCTCTCTAGCACATCCTTTCCCCTTCACACAGAAAAAATGTTTGCTCCTGGTTGGAACTTGTGCTTTAATTATTAAATAACATAGTGTGAAATGCAGCTTTGGTTAGATTGTGGTTTTGGACTGTTTTGATGATGAGGAAAGAATACTAAGTTAGAGCTTGTTATCAAGAAATACAAGTACTTTTTTGTTTACTGTCTGTAATGTGATACAAATGAAGAAACAGATCTGGAGTAACGAGGAGGAAACTCTATATGCCATTTAGCTGTGCTGCTGGTCCCAGCTGATGCCAACTTGTCCTGGAGCTTTCCTTGCCTCCTGAAGACCCAGCTGCCTCTTGAGTAAAAGGCATCTTAGCTGAGATGCTTGCACACATGATGAAATTCTGAAAACAATCTAGAAAACTTCCTTGTAGCCAAGGAAGCTTTAAGATAAATCTTTATTTTCAGATGGATAAGAGGTATGATTGCATAAAAAAAAAAAAAATCTGTGAAACTTCAAAAATTCATTTATAAATTACAGAAGAGAATGAGGGAGATGAATTGCACATTTCAATTCTTCCTATCAGTCTTAATCATTTTCATAGACTAATTTGGCTTTGAGGCGTGTTGGTTTTTTTTCCACATGCATGAAGCTTTCTTCACATAAGTTCTATTAAGTAGACTATTACAAAGGCTAGTATTTTTGCCAGTGCTCCTTTTATTGTGTTTAGACTTGATGATTAGGAGCAAAGCACTTTGAAAACAGATACAATTAGTTGCATATATTGTTTTGAGGGGACATGTAGATCAGCTGGTATGTTTGGTGGTTTATTAGTCTCAAAAGTTGCATTTGTTCCATACAAATTTTCTCTTGCAGCGGAGTTTAAGTAATACTGAAGATGAATGTACTCACCTGAAAGAAATGAATGAGCGGACTCAGGAAGAATTAAGAGAATTAGCTAATAAGTACAATGGAGCTGTAAATGAAATTAAAGATCTTTCTGACAAGCTAAAGGTAACAACAGAACTTTATTAGACTTATGTTGATGTTGTAATGCATGGAAAAAGATTTCATTTCTAAAGCAGCAATCAAGTAAAGGTTAAGAAATTATTTAAGCAACGAGTAGAAAGATGTATATCAACTGTTACGTGCTATTTTCCTTTACATTTAACATGCCTGAAAGTGTCATAATTAAATTGTTAAAAATTTTCCTTTTTCATTCACTTCTAAAATTACAGTATTTTTGGAACTGCAGTTTGTTTTTGTATAAAATTCTGCAATGGATAAAATTTCACATTCAGCTGCTTTTAGATAAATAACTTATTTGCATTTCACGTTGCCCTTAGTGCAGTTACAAGCACAAATGGCCAACCACTGTAATATTACAGCTCAGATCCTTGGTGGGAAGGACATGATGTCAGGCTTATCATTAAATCAAACTTCTAGTTACATTAATATTTTAATGTCCCATATGCTGGAGAACAAAATGATGACAGTATGATAAAGCCTGTTCCCATAAAGATTCCCATTAAGATTAGCAGATCATATTGAGGAGGAAAGTGGTAGTGTTCTGTTTTTAAGAGTTCCATTTGTCCTGGATACAGGAATTTAGATTATTTTGGCCTTAGCTCAGCATCTCAGAAGACTTTTCTTTCCAAATTAAATGTTACATTGATGATCTTAAGGTCCTTAGTTTTGCAACTAAGAATTAATCACTGTTGGTGATGAGTTTACTCAGAAGGATCAAAATTGAAGCTTATTAACCTAGCTTTGCAGGGAGGAGAATCTATGACATGTGTTATGAAATCCAGCAAGGAAAAAGCTGTGGGTTTTAATGAAGTTAATCTGTGAACTCAGCTCGTAAAGGCTTTGCAATTTGGCTGATGGTTTGAGATGGGAGTGTAGGTATTTCTAAGCTCTCCGGACCCGACAGTGTTCTGTTGATGTTTTGAGATTCTTTTTATCTCTAATTTTGCCTATAGTGAGATTGTATTGTTTCTGTTTTCTCCATCTGACTACCAAAGTAGGTTACTTCAGTGCATTCAGTTATACAAAACAAGGACATCTACACCTCAGGATGCTAATTTTCATTTGTTTGGGGATTTTTCTCTTGAGCAGGTGGCAGAAGGAAAACAAGAAGAAATCCAACAGAAAGGACTGGCAGAGAAAAAGGAATTACAACATAAGATAGATGAAATGGAAGAAAGAGAACAAGAGCTTCAAGCAAAAATAGAAGCTTTGCAGGCTGATAATGACTTCACCAATGAGCGGCTAACTGCTTTACAAGGTTAGTCACTAGTGGGGGAAAAATTATTCATTTGTTATTCTTTTAATCTGTGAAATACCTTTTTCTTGGAATTCTGTTTACAGTACGGTTAGAACATCTTCAGGAGAAAACTCTTAAAGAACACAACAGCTTAGGTAGGTGTGATCAGTTTCTTGTTTAAAGCTGGTTTCCAGATTATTTCTCTTCAATTATTTTTATTGTAATAATCCTGTAATGTAGGTGTCTGGCAATAGGATAATGTATTTATAAGTAAGCCAGTACTGCACTGTTTTACTGCTTGTTAACTATACGGAGAGAAAATATGTGAGTGCAGCAAATTGCCAGCAGAGGGCACTGCTGCTGTGCGTATTCACCCTTTGGGTTTGTTGCTCAATTCAGAGCTTTTCTTGGTTCCCAGCCCCTTATCCACCGCTCAGAAAAAGATACTAGTTTGTTGTCATGTTCTTTTTTAAAAACATGGACAGTGATTCTTTGGATGACAGTAACTTCTGATGTGTTGAACAGCCTGAAACATGATCTGTCCTGTTGGAAAATGCATTAAATTTTGCCTGTTTTGTTTGATTAATATAATCTAGATACTCAAAGGAAATATTATGATAAACCATTTACATTTCACAGTGCTGTATTTATAAAGAAACAAAATCCAAAACTTTTTTCTTGATTCTAGAAATAATACCCTTTCTTAATCCTAGGCATACAAGTTGATGACTTCATACCTAAAATTAATGGGAGCACACAAAAAGGTAGTGTATCTCAAGGCTACCTTTTGTCTTATGGTTGATGTTTGAAATTGAACAAATTCTTTTTGTTCTCTAAAGTTTTACTTGGATTAATATTCCCTTAAAAAAGAAGTTGCCTGCTTCTCTGACCAGCTTTTTTTTGTTGTTGCTTAGACTCTCAGTCTAGGTGTTTTGAGAAGGTTCTGTAAAAATCCAAGGAGCCAAACTTGGAAGCTGACCTGTTTTAATTTTTTTAATTTTAATTTTTAAAAAAAAAATTTTTTTAATGGATTTTTACTGGAATCAGTGGGAATCTTATGAATGGTGTCAATTTTGTGACACACAGTGAAAAACCCTCATTAACTATTTTCCTTTTTATTTTCCTTGCAAAACAGACATTTTTCTATTAAATTGGTTATGGTAAGTAAAGTCAGCAAAAAATATATTTTTGCTGTCTATAATGTATGACAAATGCAAGTAAATCACATACCAGTAGTGGAAACTAACTTTAAAACTTCTTTAAAATTTAAGGGTGTCTTTCTACCAAACAGGAACTAATACCCACTAACTTTTTTTTCTTAAAGATGAAGTAGTTTAAGCTAGATTCTTTTTAACCAATGTTTTAACATACACTTGGGGTTTTTTTTTTAAATAAAATTGATCAAAAATCTGCTAATTTTTTTTCATATGAGAAATGGTTTATATTCACTGAATTGTTCTGTCAGTTAAGATAGATTTGTTATCTTCAGTTTATTTAAGGTACATCAATGAAAAATTTTCCTTGAACATCTCCTGTGTATAGTGAAGCCTCTGAGGACTCAGTGTTATTAGTAGGATGGTTGGGACCCTTACATAGAGAACTCGTGGTTCCAAATATTACTTACAGTGTTTCAGGATGACTGTATATATTTTTTGAAACAATTTAAAAGCTATCTGTGTTCTAATTTTTAGATATAATTTATTTTCTTCGTATTATAAATGAAGAGCTTCTTAATTTGGAAGAGTGCTATCAAAATGAAATCATGGCATAACCTCATGTCAGTTTCTTATTTGGAGCAGGGGAGAGGTGTTAAATACACTGGCAGGAACTGTATAAAACATCTGCTTAATCTAAGTGCTGGTTCTCCCTTTCTCTTAGTATTGTTCCATCTTGCTGTTGCCTTAGTTTAGATTGGTGATACTCACCATGCTTGATAGAATGGTTAAGAAATAAACATGTCTTTTTGTTTTTTAATTTTCTACCATGGGCAATAATTAACTTCTCTACCAAGCAAAACTGAGGCACTGTGTAAAGGCTGTGATTCTTCATTCTAATAATCACATTCTAATCATGTGAGCTGTAAGACTTTGTAAATTAGATTGTTGGAAGTTTTTGGAAAATCCTGCAGTACTGTGAAAAAAACAGCCTGTGATGTGATACCAATGTACCATTCTCTTAAGTTTTTTTCAAAATTTAAGAAGCAGTCCCTTTTTTATTTATTGTGAATCACATACGAATAATCTGGGTAAATGCATGAAAGCACATATTCCTTCTTCCCAAAAACAGGAACCTCCATAACAGGAGGTCAAGCACTTGTGCTTAGGAATGTTAGGAGGTAGTCTGCCACTTTCTTTTTCTTTGACATAGAACTGTTCATTCAAGTTGTCATTGTTTGTGTGTATGAAGTCTGTTACCTTTCTCTCTCATGTATCTGCCATAATGTGATTTTATTCTATGGATTAGCTTAGCTTTCCATATTTTGCATTGTACCACGTTCTTCTGCACATCTTTGCTACACTGAGCCCATCCACATTTCTCTGACTAAGTAGAGCTTGTTGGCTTGTGTTCTTTTCATGACAGAATGTGTTTTTCTTTATCCTCCTGTTCTGTATCCAGTCATCATACAATGACAGATGGGCAGTAATTTTTTTTCTGCCAGATTTTGGTTTTTGCCTTCTTGAGAGCAGCAGGAAATAGTTACTGTGTTTTGCTGAGTAGTCTTGAGTTATTTTAGAACTTAGAATTTGGGGCTTATGATGTAGATTCAGCTGCTTCTGCAGTGAAGGAGCTTGTGGATATTTTGCATAAAGGAAAGACTTCATAGGTAAAGAAATCAGAAATACAAGAAGTGGTTTTGTACCAGGTAGACTGTAAGGGGGAAAAAGTGGTTTCCTCTGTTTGTATATGATGATGCTATTATCCTCTTTCATCATTGAGTGCTAATGACCAGAGAACTAGAAACAAGGTGGTTTTTTTTCTTCTTGAAATGTTGTTCATGTGCTGCAGATGAAGAAGGTAAAACTGTATCAACTTGTCATGCTTTGTGATGTTCCTTTTGTCTCCCTGTCTCTGAAAACTAAAGGTCCAGCTCAGGAGTTGTACTTACAGGTACACTTAAACTGTTGCAGGAGCAAGGATCTTACATGAGTTCTTAATTTTATGGACTGCCACAAATTTAAAAACAAAAACAAAACAAAAAAACCCAGTACTCTGAGTAGGGAAACTAAGAGCCATCTTCTAGTACATCTAGAGTCATAACAAAGTGCTTTAAGGTGGTGATGGTTAGGTGTTCATTTGCTCTCATTTCACAGACAGAAATTCTGATGCTGAAGAGAATACTTTCTCAGACATAAAGCTACTGGCAAAGGTGGTTTAGAACTGAGTTATTGCAGTAAGTTGTTCCACCACACCTGGTTTTCCTGTTTCAATTCTTTGTGAGCCATACCTTGAATACAGAAAGGTACAAAAAAGCTTCTATACAGTCACTTAGGAGAGCAACTTGTAGAAAATATAAAAATAAATAATTCAGAGATGGAAAACAGATGTTACAATCATGGTGCTGTACTTTAAAAGCCTTGTCCTTACGAACTAGAAAAAATGACATTTACTTATTGAAGTGATTTTCAAATATGGTAAAGGTTAATATTACATCATTGCTCATAAGGGCTAGGCTGCTGATAGCTGAAGCTGATGATTGAGCACTTTTGTTAAAAAGTAACACGCTTTGCTGGTTTGTGTACAAAATAAGAAAAGACAAAAAAAGCATTTTCTCCTTAGGTTGTTAGGCTCTTGAAGTCAAAGGATTTTGAGGTTCGTCAGAATTGAAGCATTAGCATCAATTTAGTTGAAGAGACACCAGGTTCTGATGGAGCTGGGAGCTGACCAAAGTCTCATAGAAAGACTTGAGTAAAAATGAGAGTTGAGTCCAGTTTTAGAATCTTTACTTCAGCAACAGTTAAATATCTTTGCATTTCAAGAGGATATCTAATGTGGAAGAATAAACATAAAGACTAAAAAAACCCTTTAATAAATACCTTTTTAAAACTATGAATAAAATGTCAGAGAATGTAGGTTAAATACATGCTCTGTATTTCTTCAGCACTTGGATTTGGTATTTGCTGGTTATTCATGTCTCGTTCTGAATTTACAGATGGGTACCAGTGGTGGTTCTGTGGAGTTGTGTGTTTTAATTATGTATCATCTTATGGATTCTAAATTTATTATAATTTAAATACAATTCATGTGTTAATCTTTGCCAAAATTCTGGTTGTTGACAGAAGTCCTTTGTCACCACCTAACGTGAAAGAGCAATACTGTAAATGCCAAATGCAGAATGTTTGGATTTTTGTAATTTGTTCCTACTGAATTTGTCTTAACAAGATTTATTTAGCTTCTACTGAGGTAAGCAGCTTTTTGTTGTGAGCAGCTCATAGATTTCAGTTTTTAAAAGAACTTTTTGAAAATGCAGTCAAAAAACTCTTTCGATCTGATCAGAAGAAAAAGTGCAATCTGCTTTCTAATATCATCCAGACATTATTCCAAACAGGTGTTGTCTGCTTGTGTAGTAACCCAGACCTCATCAGCTAACTGTAAATATGCAGTGACAAATATTGTTCATATACCTTTCACATTTTTTGTTGCATCAACCTGAAAATAAGCAGATGTAAACTGAAGTGTTTCTTTCTTTACTAGAGAACTTTCTTTCAAAGAGTGGAGGGGACTGCACTTTTATTCATCAGTTCATAGAATGTCAGAGTGAGTACAAGAGTGTTCATCGCATTCACTTTAAAAACAACAGAAAACTCAGACAAGGTGGATAAAACTCAGAATTTGTCACTACTGTTCAGTAGGTCTGTAGTAGCATTGAATTGAGGCTTCGTGGTATTAAGCAGATGCCTGTAGTAGCAAAAGAAAATCTTTGTTTTGGAGGTATCTTTGTTGTGGAAATGATGATCACATTGTCTTTTCATACATGTAGTCATTCTTTTCCTCTGCCCACTATCAGGGTGGTAATGTTGCCACCTGATGTTTAAAGCAGTCTAAGTTTTCATCTGTGTTACAAATTAAGAAGTTGAAAGCCTAACCAGTGGTGTTTTAAACAAACAGCATGGGTTGGAGTGGGCCAGAGATGAGGTAATGATCCCTCTTCTCAGTTTTACTGTGTAATTTATCTGATATTTGAATGTTTTAACATATTTTTCTAATTAGTGGTTATGAAAAACAAAAAGGAAAACTTTAAGACTTGAATTTTTATGTGGAAATTCAGAAGCTTCTTTTAATGAAAATAGATGCCAGTCTTTAGAAAGATTTATTGCTCTGGAATAAGAAACTTGTTTTTTCAAAGCAAATGGGTTTTGAAAATGACTAATGAAGCAGTGCAGCCTGTGTATCTGTATTTAAAGAAAAGTTTCAGGTGTTAATATGTGCTGTCTGATTGGAGAGAGATTCTATTAGGATAGAAAGTGCTGTTTTAACTGCAGAGAAAAACCCCTTGGTAGCATAAAGAATTCTTCCACTTCAGATACATAATTTCTATAAACTTGTGTTAAACAAAAATAAGATGGTACCTTTTTGACATTGGGCTCTTCTCCCCCTTTCATTTTCAATAGGGAAATGTAACAATTTTAAAATTCAGAAAAGTCTCATGAATCCTCTTTATTCATTACATGAAAAGAACTGATGTTCAAAGTTTGACTTTTTTTGGTCTACATTGAAAAAAGGGTACTCTGAGTGATGTTCAGATATGAAACTGGTTGACTGTTCTCATTGTTTGGGCATTAGTAAAACTTGTAGCAGCACCAGCTTTGCAAAGTAAATGTCAGCAGTCTTGTCGCTATGGAGAAGGAGAAGCCACCATCAAAATTTAGTTAAAGATTTTAACGTGCAATTAGTAAAATATAGTAAATAGTAAAATATGTTAACTTAGAAAGGGTTCAGCATTCTGCATTTTTGTGACAGTGTAGGCTTTGCTAAGTATGAGAGATTTACATTCAGCAACTGCTGTGTTTGTTATTGGTCTAAAAGTTTACCTTTCTCAAATTCACGTTTAGCCAGGCCCCACAAAATCATGAAGTTAAAAAACTTATGGTCTAATATTTTAATTCTGTATGTGAAAGCTACCCTCTTAGTCCTGCTGTTGCAGCAGTGAAGGTTGGTAGCTAATAGAGCTCATCAGAGTCTAAGATAGGCTGCAAATATTGAATTGTAGGACAGTATCACAAAGATTGGCAGTATTGAGGAAGAATGCATAGTTAGCTATACTATGCTTCCCCCTCCTAATATTTATTTTAGGAAAAGGACCTTTTCCTTTTAGGAAAGGACCAGGTTTATTAATAAAATAACATTTTGAAAATAGGAGTTGCATATTTAAGTAGTCATGTAGGATTTGAAACGATAGGATTTGCAAACCATAAGAGAAATCTAAAAGGAAAAGAGAGAAGCATGATGCAGTTTGTTGAGAAAGTTCTGACTCCTGCTATGTAAAGAGGAGAGTGTGCATGTCTCGTTGTGGGGAAGAAGCAGTTAAAACAGAAAAACATGAGCAGCAGAATGAAGAAAAATGCCCTGAGTCAAGGAAATAGAAGTATGTAAGGTAGCATGAGGAGGGGAATTAAATGACCAAATAATCTAATATTCTGTATAAACAACTGCTACAGACATACAAGGCAATTGAGAGTGCGTATCAGTTGACAGCAGTCAGATGTCTCAAGATACTCCAGCTAAGTTGGTTTTTTGGTAGGGAAGAAACAGCAGGACTCCTAAAATCTTAGTTGCAGTGCAGCACTGGTGCTTAACTTCATAGCAACTGGCTTTGTTCATGTTTTGTTTTGTTTGAGTTTTCTTAATAGAGCAGGCCTTGCAACACGATCCAGTAACTTTCCTTGCTCTGCAAAGTCTGGAACGTTATGAAATGATGCACTGAATGATCTGAGAAGTGTGCTACTTTCTGATCATTACGTCCAGTCACTCGCTGCTCATTTCATAACTTCTTTCAGTAACCACTGGTGAAATCCTGTGACGTCAACAGCAAAAAAATAAAAGCTACCTTCTTCTAATTAGTACAGGGCATGAGTTATTGCCAAATGTGATGATGATTAATAGACAGAAGAGAGAGTCAGTGCTGTGCCAGCTTCCTATCTTTTGCTCCTATTTTTCTTCTTGTGACCTTATTTTTTTCATTTGATGATTTTACATTTATGATTTTAAATGGAAGTTAATTTTTTGCCATTTTACTAAGTTCACTCTTGCGTTTTTTAAATTCCGTTTCTTTTTATTATTCTATTTATATAAAATGGAGTAGGTATTTAATAGATTGAGTGACTGTTCCCAACTTTTCTCACCCACAGCTCATAAATCCATTGGAAATTAGAGCCATTCAGTACAGCTTTTTTCCGGTGGTTTGAAATTAGTGCTGAGGACCAGGTTTCCTTTCACTGGTCTTCAAAGCTGGCTTCCTTGAAAGATTAATTTGATATAAAAACACAAATACGTTGAGCAGGGGCATTTATTTAAATAATCATGTAATGTCCGGATATCTTGAAAATCAAATTGCAACAGTAATAGGCAACCTAAATCTAAAGGGGATTTCTTAAATTTAAGTGAGAGCAGTTGGCTTAAAGATGAAATGCAATGCTTGAACTCATAGAAATCATTTCAATAAAAAATATTTTTAATTATTATACATATCAGCAACTCTTTGATTTTTAGTAAGTAATTTCTGGATGACGTGAAAGACCAAAATCATTTCTTCCAGAAGCTAAAGTGGATCCTCACCCTCTTCTTTTTTTTTGGTGACCAAAAATGCATATCTTGATTTATTTATTTTTTTTCAAATTCAAATGATCCAGTTTATGAAGTTTTTTTTTGTGAAATAGCAATATGGAAAGATGCAGACATGTGGGGAAAACAAGTTGTAAAGGTATAGGTATATCGACTTTTAACTTTGAATTTCTGATTGCCATCTGGGTTCTGCTGTCTTTAGTGAGTAGGGAGGTCAGAATACAGAACAGCAGTATAAGATGCTATTTAGTTTAATGATGTCAGCATTCAGTTTTCTATTTATTATCTAAGTATTCTTAGTCGTGCTGGAATAAAATATTTTATGTTGACTTTGAACTATACTAATGCTTTATTTTTGAAACACATAGAATGTTTACTCTGTTTTTAAACTATGAGAGGCGTCAGCCACCAAGTGGAAAATGCTTTCTGTACCACCTTGGGTCGCTCTGTACAAGGAGTCTTCAGTGTTATTGCTGGACCAGTGTTGGGAGGATAACTTTCACACAAACACTGAAATTAAAACTGCCGTGGTGGACATCAGAAAACATTCAACCACTGTGAAAAAATAAAACAACTGTTTTAAATCTGCGGATTTTTTTCTTTAGTCATAAAAATGGTCAATTATTAAAAATGTATGGAGCTGCCACCAAAGTTCAGAGAGTTTGGGAAAGCAGTGGGGTCAATAAGACTAATTTATTTGTTCTGTGTTACAATTATTCTGATTTTAACAGAACAATGCAAAGACTTCGGGATCTGTCAGTTCATGAAGCCAAATTTTCTTCTGTAAACTGGTTATAGAAGTGTATCTTAAGCTAACCACCCAGCATACAGATGATCAGCCCTTGAGATCAAGAAATTGATAGCTACTTTGAGTGCAGTGTTTTTACATTCCGTTTATTTTTTTAAATGTTAAGGCTGAATTCCTCAGTATCTTTCTAGCTGTGTTCCTACTATGACCCCCTCTTCCAGCCTCAGCTGAGTCCTGGAAAAGCCACACACAGAGGCTTTTCTTTAGATTTATCTTTTGTTTAGGGCTCATGAAACCCTTAAGTCCCTCTTCACTTGTGGCTGCAGAAGCTTGGTGCCTGCTCTTGTCTCCTCAGGCTCAGGGACTCTCAGCTCTGATAAACACAAGCTGGATGACAAGTGATCTCCTGCAGTCTGCTGGGACCTGAACTCAGTCCTGAAAATATGGAGCACTGTTCATTACTTTTTCTGAAACAGTATTCATGAAATCTTGTAAAAGTACTGCAGGACAGTATTTGCAGCCAAGAATAGATGGATGGTCTGTCTCTTATAGGCTGGTTTGTCTGCTTGGGGGGGCGGGAATGAGATGGAACAAGTTTCCAGCCATGCAAACAGTTGTTCAGAGCTCAGGTTTTTATGCCTCAGAGTTTGTCCTTTTCCATCCATGGCTGAAAAAGCTGTCTCCTGTCAGCTCTTGGCCTGCTGCTGTCCTTAGCTTGTCATGGGCACAGCAGCGTGTGCTGCCTGAGTGACACAGAGACTTCTTAATCTTCAGAGCTCCTTGAAGCTCAAAATGTCGACTGAGCTCACTATATTTAACTTTAAAAAATTGAGAAGGATTTACTGCCCTTCAGCTTGTTCATTCTGACCTCCTGTGCACGCTGTCCATCCTGTCTTCTCTGAGTCTTGGTTACCTGCTATGAGCGCCCTGCTCAGCTCTGCTGGGCTGTTGTGGATCCAGCAGCTGCAAGGCCAGCGTTCTCCTGGCTGTTAGTAGCCCTTGGAAATGCTTTCAGCTGTCTAAAGCAGAACATCTGCTGCACTGTAATTGATGATACGATCTGTGAGATATGTGACCCTCCGTCACTTTGCATGTTGGCATCACCTCATTGTGAAGAAACTTGAAATAATGAAATCTTGTAACAAGAAAGAAGTTAATTGCTGGTTCAATAGTCCTTTTGGTGTCTTTGATAAATCCAGACCTGTTCTTCACATGGTCATACTGTTTGCCTTCATGTGCTCCCTGCAGTAAGAAGATGTTAACAGTCTAGTCTCGAGCTCAGGTGTCTTAGATGTGTTTTACCACCTGACATAAGTGGATAGACTTCCCTGCCAGTGCTGTGCAAACTTGCATTTGGGAACCTGGCTGTGGTGTGTTTGTTCAGTGCTCTGAACTTTATAAAGGACATTCCTGTGTTCCTCATGGGCAGTGATGAAGCAGTTGTGATGCGGAGGTGGCTTCTCAATTGCTCTCACTATGGTGTCTTTCTAGATTTCTGCTGTATTTGGTGGGTGTTCACTTCAAGCAAACAGCTCTCACAATTCTTGTTTTTGAAAATTTTAAATTGGTGATATTTACAATTTTTTGCTCTCAGACTGGGGGAAAAAAAAAGTTCATTTTAAAAAACAATTGTAACTTCTCATTAGTGAACTGGAACATTAATGAAAGTTAATAAATTGCAGAGGACATTAATTATGTGCTTTATCACAATGTTTTACTAGGTTTGAGTGCTTTGTTTCATTATTCCATGCCAGAATAAAGTTGTTGTTCAAGCCTGAGTAGAAAGTAATACTGTCAGCTTTTAATTTGGTCATGGAATGTGGTCTGCGTAGATGTGTGCAGGGAAAAGCTTGCTTAATTTGAGCCTGGAAAGTAACACTTATTTTGTTTGGCAGACAAGATCATAGATGAAGGACATCTAACCAAAGTGGAAGAAACAAAGCTTTTGAAAGGTTAGATTTATGGATTATTTAAGTGTTTTGAAGCATGGTTTTTATGTGACCTTAATGCATGTTCTCTCTTAAACTGGCTGTTTGTTTTGTTGAGTATTCACGTAATAAAAACTGTCAGTGAAAGGGGAGGTGTATTGTGTACTGACCTCAAATACTGCTGTAGAGTAAAAAGGTTGAAAGGAAACAATTTTCAAGGACTGATTGCACGAACTTCTTTTCTCAACTGAGTTCTTACTTGAATGTACTTTTTTTTAATTGAAAGTACAATATATATGTTTTGAAAATTGATTAAAATCTCTTGTGCCGGCATAAATTCAAACTTGTGAGTTAGAGGAGGAAAGAGAAATAATGTTTAGTCCGACTTAAGATGTAAATGAAAATGTATTTCAATTTGATCTGTTTGTACCTTAGCCTGGTAACTATTTCAGAACAACTACTAACCTCCTAAGCTTGCCTTTTGTGAGCAAACTATAAGCGTGCATCTCCAGCTTCTTTTCAGTGTAAAGCAAGTGAAATACAAAGATTTAGTTTGACAAGATTTACCTTGCCAAGAAACAGTGACTGTTATCTTGCAGTGTCAAAACTGCAAAAAAAAAAAAAAAAAAAAAGTTTTGAAATATGTAGGTCACTATTTCCTGTGTGTCTAATAATGTAAGGTTGGACTTGTGGGCTGAATCCGCTTCTGTAGCTTTTTGTTCATGTCTAGACATACTAACACATTTCTTTGTCCTTCTGCAAAGTGTTACTGCACTGAATAAATGTTAGCTTGGCTAAAGTCCTGGTGCTTTAGAGACTTTTCTCCTTCTGTATGAAATTGCACCTTTAATTTGTTTCTGTAGGTGTGCAAACTATAGACAACGTGCCATATTTGGCAAAAGAATGCATACAATAACTGTAACTTAACACTTGCATGCCAGTTAACTTGCAGTACGACGAGTTATTTTTAGTGTTTGCTAATGTATTCGAACTCTTCAAGTACGTATGATGTCAACACGTTTTAATATACTTCATCATTTTGGCTATATTTATTCAGCTTAGTTTTATTATGGGAAATAGAAACAACTGCTGTGAAACAACTTAGTACAGAGATCGGTTTTGTGCTTTAGTCTGTGGTTGCAGCATAGGAAGCAGGGTTCTAAACCATCTGTCTTTTTTACTTCTGCCATTTCCGACACTTACATTTGCACGTCTTTGCTCTGGTGCCTGCTCTTGGTGCCTGGATCAGGGGCTGAGGGGGAGGGGAGGCAATTGTACCTGAGAGCGAGTGGGAGGGGAGCTTGGGAGGGAGGAGAGGGAAGAGAGAATTAATGTAGGGCTTGGAGCTCACGCTGCTCCACTTAGCACAGAACAAGGAAGCTGTGTCCATGCATGACCTGATATGGTAAGGTTAGTTGGATGCAGATACTGCTCAGCTTCGCACTCCTGGACTGGCCGCTAAGACAGACAGCATGGGTGAGGCTTTCAGGATATACTTTTCTTTGTACCTAAGGTTTAAATATTTTTTACGGTTTTTGTGGCAGTCTTGTGGGTTTAATTCTATTTGATACATGTAAAATGCTCTGTATTGTGACGTCTTCAGAATTTGTTTTTAGGGAATAACACTTCTAAACTGGGGCAGTGCTGTTTTCACTTAGCGAAGAACCACCCCAGCCATCAAATTCCGTAACTGCTTCAGTCACTGTGAGCTTTGAAGTCAGCTGAAGGCATATGATTTATGTTTGGGAAAGATGCCGGGCCTGAGCCCCTAATGCACTGTGTCAGGGTGCTTTCCCCTTCTCCCTCTCCAGTGATTTCAGTCCTATTGAAATAGGAAGAGCCTGGCCCTTGATCAGCTACTTTGCTTGTACTTGTCATCTTCTGTTTTGTTTAAAAGTTTGTGTTCTGGCACAAAGAAAGAAGATTCTTCATGTTAGATAACAGAAGTGCTTTCTTGCTGTTAACCTGTCATCTTGCTTGTTTCCCAGTGTTGCACGTTTTCATTTTTCACTTCTTGTTCAGGGGGCATTCAGTTCCTTTTATTCTCTTGTTATTTGTAGAAGCAATGCCCCCAGACTTCCTCATGATCCTGCGTTGTTGTGCTTATTGCTTGTTGTCAGTGGTTTCTAACAGTATTCATATAACTCACCTTATTGTTTATCATTGTGCATCTTCTGTTCCTGGTCCTCCTCTGGCACTCCTCTTTGCATCTGCACTGTCTGTATGTGAAGAAATTGTGTTCACTGTGCTTTTTCCACATACACAGGCATCGCTCCTACCATACATAATGTCATAACGATGCCTTTGGTATGTGTGCATGTCACTCTCTTTACCTGGGGATCATACTCAGGTAGAATATGTGTTAATCTGAGGCAGCAGTGCTGTCAGACCAAGGCTGGGTGCGTATAGTTAGCCAAGAAAGACTTCCCTCTGTTCAGCTTCACTTGCATGTTGGTGACTTTGTAGCTGCTGAACTGTCTTACAAGAGTCACCTCACCTTCTGAAAATATGCTCCTCATTAAAAATTGAGAAGTGGTGAGAAGGCTGCATGGCTTCATTAAGCTGAATGTGATGATGTGATGGGTTGTACGTGACTAGTTATATTGTGAAGGTTTGGGTCTCTTTGGTTTTTGGTTTTTTTTTTGGTGGAAAAAGAATAGCAACTGCCTTCTGGAAATACAGTCTGAACTGAAAATTCTTTCTATAAACTAGTTAGTGTATTCTTTATTGATTCATGCTGAACTTTTTTTTTTTTTTCTACAGAACAGTATATACAGGGCTTGCTGCTATTATTTTTTTGTTCAAAATACTGAAACAGTTTTATTCATCACAGCATTTAATTTCTGCCTCATAACAGTATCGGCATTGTTCTATATCTCTTTTCGTATTTGTTCTCTGATTGGATAAAACAATCAGCTTTTACAAAGAGTTCCAACTGGCAAGAATACAGCTATACACAAAAGTTCAAGCTGTGCATGAGACAGTTGCATCCCCAATTAGATGCTAGGCTAGATTAATGAGTTCAGTAAAACTGAATCCATTTTACCTCAGGTTTATGAAGAAATAAGCAAACATCAGGTTTTTAAGAGCTTTCTTCAGTTCTTTTTTCTAGTGACATTTAACAGTCATATATATAATATATATATAAGTCAGGAACAAAGCACTTACACTGTACTTGATTCTCCCTGTCTCTTACAGAGAACCAAGCAAGAGTGAAAGAATCAGATTTGTCAGACACTCTTAGTCCGAGCAAGGAAAAAAGCAGTGACGACACTACAGGTAAACACTGAACTAAAGCCTTGCAAAATCTAAGTAGTTTGAATTGAATCACTTAATTGTGAGCATTTTTTAAGAGTGGAGGAGGCTTGTGTTATGTATTAAGAGACACATACATTTTAAGCAGTATTTTCTGCTTGAATGGAGAATTCTCCATTACTGAGAAATGCTTTCAACCTTATCAGAAACTGCAGTAAAATAAGAAAAATATAACAGCTTCTTTACTTAAAGAATACAAATATGAAAACTGTCAACAATCTGCCTGTTTTCTTAAAAGGTTTTTTTTTTTCCAGATGCCCAAATGGATGACCAAGATCTAAATGAACCTATTGCTAAAGTAGCTCTTCTGAAAGGTAAATTTATTTTTGTGAGTTTAAATACATGGTCTACCTATAAATACGTAATCTGTATTTATAAGTTAATGTTCCTGTTTTGGTTTTTTTAATCAAATGTGTGTTAATATTGAGACTCATGAAATATTTAGATTGTGTTAGTAAGGAAGAATTGAACTTAAATATTAATAATGTTTCCTTTGGATGGTATAAAAGCATGCTGCTGAGAGTTAGTATAGGAATAATTTGTGCTTAAAGCTAGCTAGCTCTACTTAACAATGCTGTTCTATGAACTTATATGTTATAATTTCTGTGTAAGTACTGTTGAGAAATAGTATCAGCATTCACTCAAGTTAAAGCTGATAATCACTGAGAGAAGAGAATGGAGAATTCTCCATTACTGAGAAATGCTTTTAAGCATTGCCAGCTTTTACTTCTGTAGTTTCCCTCACTGTCAGAAATGCTCCTGCTAGTTTGCATATGGTGGTATAAAAATTCTAAAATCCTCTTTATTGTTAATGGAGTGAAGATTTGAGTTCCTCATTTGAACTGTATTTTGAGTGACTTTTGAACCTTGGTATGGTCTTCATACTTCTAAAATTGTATTATTTACTGCTGTTTGTACTAAAGGTGTTTGTGCTGTAAACTTAATTAGCAAGCTATTTACATGTTCATGGTCTGAATAACGTGGGATATTGTTACATTTAGGGTACTGAAAGTTAACTTGGCTTTATGTACTGTTATATGTTTCATAATATTTATACAGTGATGCTTACATTGGTATCACAAGTAAGAAGAAAGTGACAGCTCTTCGTATTTTTGAAAGACAGGAAACCATAGTTCAATTTAGGAGAACTGTAAAAGAGCTTTTTCCTCTATTTGCTTACACTTCCCTATTATCTGATAGAAAGGACTTAAAAGTATATGGTACACGTATACATACTTTTTCAGACAAGAAACCAAAAATTGAGTGTGATATTTTCCAGTGAATTTCAGTTCAACATAGCTTGAAATAATGTAAGTGTTCGAGACAGTGACCACTTTCCATTTAGGTTTTATGTTAATGTCTGTATGAATAGCAGTGACTAATAATGCATGTAACCTTTCTGTAAACTGTATTTATAAAACAAAAATAGCTCAAAGTCTTAAACAAATACTGTGGAGGAGGGGACAACAACAAAAGAAAACACATCAGTGGATCTACTGATTTAATATTTCTACCTTTCTGGATTGTAAAAAAAAAATAAAAAATAAAAAAAATAAAAATTAAAAAAAAAACTATCTAAATATAAATATGTATTTTAATCATTGAAAATGACTGAATGACTGCTCCCATGTAGCCAGCTGAAGACCACTCATGTTTGGCTGGATACCTTATTTGTTCTCTGTTGGCACATTGAAAGTAGGCAATAGTTAGTTATTATATCAACCTATTACTCTTAGGTTGAAAATCTGTGACTGACTTCTGCCTAAATGCAAATTAAGTCTTCGTAGGCTCTGTCAGGTTGCCTTCAGTAGCCCTAGAATGAGGTAAAGCTGTGAGCATTCTACTTCTCAGCTTTGAAGGCTGGCGCATCCTGTTAAGAGTTGGATGTAGTTACACTTGCTCCATCTAGGGAATGTGTCCAACTCCTGCTAGTTTTACGGTTTTGTTGCCCTCTTATTTTTCTTCTGTTTTAATAAAAAATGTGCTTAAAAAACATTTTGTTACAAACATTAACTATGTTATATATGCAGCCCAAGACTATTCCTCTTCACTCAGTGTGGTCCAGGCAAGCCAAAAGGTTGAACGCCTGGGGTCTAGGGTATGTTAACCTGGGGAGCAAGAGTAACTGAACTCTTAAAAGACTAAAGTTTTCTATAACATGGAAACATTCTTTTGCTCATGTGGATGTTTGGCATTGTTTCATTTGCCTTCATCCAGTTGAAAAATGCCTATTTGCTATTGAATTACATGTTATAATTAACTAGCATAACTCTTCTTCTCTTGAGGCTATTTATGGACATTCCTATTTTGCTCTCATGAAAACATTTAAAAATATCTGTACAATGAATCATATGCCTGTGTAATTTTTATGAAGAGTCCTTAAGCTCAAAGTTTTATTTGCAGTTTTGTCAGAGCTACTTCATGTGCCTGATTTTGCCCTAAAAAGGATCTTATTTGCCACAGAAAGACTTTCAAGTTGGTTTGTTATGCATTCACATAATTAAGGAAGAGTGAGAACATTTCGGATCTGGCAGCTGTTTGGAATGCGGAAATGGCTGCTGGAGAAGGCAGTGCTCCTTTTTGTTTAACTGCTGGAATGTAGAACACAAATACATGGAACAAGAAAATGATGAGATGTTAAATTGCTGTAGTTTCCTCCAAGTGTATTTTCCATCAATAAATTCTGAGTGCATTCAGGATTTGTTTCAACTTTATACAAGGCAGAATCTGGCAAAGATGAGGAAGGGGAAAAACTTGCACAGATTAGCAGAGCTGCTTGTTTTTTTCAAGAGGTAAACATCTCTATGGGCCATTTATAAGAGTTCCTTGGACATTTCTATATAGGCTGCCTGTGACTACTTATTACAAAGAAAAATTGCAAAGCTGAAAACAAGTATATGTTGAACAGATGGTTAGAAGCAATAAATGCCATTGGAAGTTCAATGATCTTGTCAACTTCCGCGTGTTTGTTAGTAACTCCAACATTGATCCATGGGATCTTATTAAAAAATGTTTACTGAATAGTTTAGTTCTCTGAATAGTGTTAGTTTAGTTAATAAACACTGAAAACCAGCAGTGCAAAGTTTGATAACCATTTTTTAATTGTTGCAGTAATAGCCAACTATATATCTCGTGTACGACAAATATGCTTAGGCGGCAAAAAAATCTGATTTAGTCCTTAACCTAGCAGCTGGCAACCCTGCCTGTGGCAGGGGGGTTGGGGTGTGATGGTTCTTGAGGTCCCTTACAACCCAGGCCATTCAGTATGGTAAGTTTTCTGTGAATCTTACAAAGCTGAAGATAACTCGGATTTTTAATTGTCTGAATCTGAATCACGTGAATACTCTGAAAATATTCATCTGAGTAACCTCAGAAATCATGTCCTGCTCTGAAAGGGAACTGTTGTGAGACTTGGGAGAAATACCAGCCTATTGCTACCGCAGGCCAGGCGTATGGCTGAGGCATGAAGCAACATCACGGCCTGTGCGTGCCTCTGTAAGCTCTCCTGTCAAAACAAAAATATGAAGACAAACACATAAACTGAGCTTAGTTAATATCTTCATGCTTGTGAATGTTGATTTAATCTCAGTATTGTTGGTCTTTTTAACTAAAACTTTATTGGTTCTGAGGTTGCAAAACCTAAGTTTATGTTAGATGGGAAAAATACCTTCACACACAATTGTAATCTTTAATGATCTGGAAATAGTTGCTTTTCCTCAAGCCTGACCTATGGGTTATACTTCTTTTTGAGGGAGAGGGAGCTTTAATGTATTTTCAAGATTGATTTGTTACAGATTGCATTAACTATTCTTTTTAATTTTTTTTTAATCTACCAGTAGAGGAAAACTTAAAGATTAACAATCTGGTGTTAAGGAAAACATGAGTGTTGGGATAGGTGTGGAAGAAGTAGGGTGAAGAATCTCTTACAAGATAGCAAAAAATCTGGTCAGAGATGAAAACTTTCTGTGAGGATGGGTGTTTGTTGTTGTTTTTTGTTTGTTCATTTGGTGGAGTTTTTTTTAATTGCCTTAATGTTAGAACTCTGCTTAGATTTCTGAGAACAGTTACTCCAGTATTGAATACGTGATGGATTATGTCTAAACCCAGTAGTAGTTTTACTGGTTATGAATATATCAATACCATCAAGATACTGTTTTTCAGATCTCAGTGTTAGCACTGAAGTGATGTTTGCTTTGTACTAAAAGGCATGAAAGAAATTGTCAGTTTATGTGAGACTGAAAATCTGGTTTTTTTTGCCATAGCTGTGATTATATGTATTAGCTTCTGGTTTAGAAGCTTGTCAGGTGTATGGAAACTACCCTCTTGCATTTGAGTAGGAAAGACTTCTTACCTTGACACGTTGTCTCTCTGCTAAACTGATTATGCTGTCCCATAAATTGAATTTCTCATTTCCTTTAAAGCCTTGTCATCTTTCATGATGTGTCCTTTCACTGATTTGAAAATGCTGTCCGCTAGGATGTTCACTTAATGTGTCTATTGTTTGATTTGGGAACACTGCTTCTTTATGCTTCTTTAATTTGAAAGTAATTTGTCAACTCCCTCATCCATTTCTTCTGAGCAGTCTCATTAAGGACTGAAAGTCTAATTGCCACAAATCTTTATCCATGAGAAGCTAGGAACAAAACATCCCCAGTAAAGAGAAATCCGGACTAGAAATTATAATAAGCTTATAAAAGAAAGTATTTGGATGAAAAATTGGGTCCTCTTTGTTCTTTCTGCTCTCATAACTTTGTTCTGAAAAAGCCTAAAAGTGCATGTGTTTCCATATCTCTACCCCTTGATCCCAATTCATTACTGTGAGAATGGGAAAGACAGCCTCTTAGAGGAACACAGTATGAGAACTTTAGAATAATTTCATTAGTTTCCTTAATGAAGAAAACATAATTTACCTTTTGGGTTTTTGTTCTCTGCAGCCTGACTTCATCTTAAATCTGTAGTGATGGATGTTTATCAACCATAGGGCTGTGCAACGTGTGTACCTTCCTGTTCTGTCTTTCCTGTTTCCCACGATGTCCTGTGAACTGTTTCACTGATTTTCCTCCTTTACCCTTCTCACCTAGCCTGGGTGCATTAAAAAGATGATGGTCAGCAGGTCAAGGGAAGTGATCCTTCCCTTCTGTTTTGCCCTGATGAGACCACATCTGGAGTGCTGTTCCTAGTTCTGGGCTCCTCCGTTCAGGAAAGGCAGGGAACTGCTGGGAGTGTCCAGAGGAGGGACACAGTGAGGGGCCTGCAGCATTTCCCTTATGAGGAAAGACTTGAGAGACCTGAGGCTGTTCAGCGTGGAGAAGAGGAGACTGAAGGTGGATCTTATCAATATCTGAAGAGTGAGAGTCAAATGGATGGGGCCAGGTGCCTTCCAGCAGTGCCCGGAGACAGAACAAGGGGCTTTGGGCACAAGCTGGAACATGGGAAGTTCTGTCTGAACATAAGCAAACCTTTTTACTTTGAGCGTGACAGAGCACTGGAACCAGCTGCCCAGAGAGGTTGTGGGGGCTTTCTTTGGAGATATTCAAGACCTGTCTGGAAGCCTACCTGTGTGACCTGCTGTAGGGAACATGCTTAGCAGGGGGTTAGGCTTGACAGTCTCCAGAGGTCCCTTCCAACAGCTATCATTCTGTCATTTGTGATATAAAGGTTTATTTCTCTACCTATGTGGTCTATTAGTGCTGCTTATACTTATGAAAGATCTTTCTGCATAGGCGCTGCTTAGGGAGAATTTGGTGCAAAAGTGCTTCTTGCCTGATATGACAGATACCTGCAGGCTAGGGTGTTGTCTTCCTCTTTGTTTCTGCATCAGATTCCTAATATACACCCATTAGATGACAAATACATATTTTTCTTCTTCTATATGATTTAAATAATCCAAAAACTTCTGCTTTAAAAGTATCTGACTTCCATGACTGTATGTCATTTCCTGTAATCAATCCCAGGAGGTGTTTTCATGCATTTTTAGTTAATACAAAGCTTGCAGGGAAGAGCATGTATTTTGATTATTTAGTTTCACGCGATTGGATATTTAAATATCTGATCATATTAATGATGTGCCTAATTTAAGTCTAGTGAAATATTTAAGGGCAAAATCTGGCCCTTAAAGGTCACTGAAGGAAATAAACAGGTCTTCATTGAATCACAGAATCACTAAGATAGGAGAAGACCCATAGGGTCACCAAGTTCAACCATCATCTCACATCACGAGTCCACACTAACCCATGTCACTAAACACCACGTCTACCCATCTGAAATAACACAGATGGCAATGCCACCACCTACCTGAGCAGCCCATTCCAGTGCACAGCTGCACTTTTTGTTAAGTAACTCTTCCCGATACCCAGTCCAAACCTCCCCTGGCACAGCTTGAGGCCATGTTCTCATCGTAACCTTTTCTTCGTTTTGTTCTAGCGAATTCCCTAAGTTTTCCATTTTCTTGTAGCTGAGGCTCACAGAAGGAGAGGTGGGGAGCGAGCAGGGTGGGCTCGGGGAGTCCTTGCTCAAAGTGTGTGCTGGGGGAACAGGTTTACAATAGTTTCATTTTAAAAGTAGAGAAGTAGTTAATGCGGTCAAGCATTGTCTTGCTGATTATTTCTTCTTTTGTGTCAATACAGGCAGCTTTGCTAATCAATACAGTATTTTTAAAAACTCTTGAATTTGTGTGTTCTTTTTGTTTTACTGCATGTTTTTATAATTAATATTTTAAAGTATGTATATGTTTTCCTCCTTTTAAAATATATTAATATTTTTTCTAATATTTACCTAATCCAATTTTGAGTTTACTTAACTAACTCTGGATTATCTGAATAGAAAATCACCAGACATCACATAATAGTGCAAAATAAACTGCTGTAGAAATGTATGCTTTAAAGGAAATGTTCTTTTGTCAGATGAACTTCAGGGTGCACAATCAGAGACTGAGGCTAAGCAAGAAATTCAGCAGCTGCACAAGGAGCTGATTGAAGCCCAAGAGCTAGCTAGAACAAGTAAACAAAAATGCTTTGAACTTCAAGGTGAGACCCCGATCAACTTGGTTATGTAGGGTATCCTTGAAAATTGTGTTTATCAGGTAGTGTTAGAAAGGGTTCTGGTTTTGTTGATTCTTAGATTTGGTTCCTAACACTCCCATCTCCTGCACAGAAAGTTTGGTTTGTTTTCTTTTAATATGTAATCAGTCAGATTGAGCCCCTGACTTTTTCACTCAAGAATGACCAACTTGTTTTCATAGTACTGAATACATATGTGAGCTCCATGTATTTCATTCTTATCAAATATATTCTAGAATTATTGATTCATCCATATTTCAGTCAGATAATGCATGTAGTACAATGCATTCAGTGATCATCCTTTTAAATATGGAGCTGTATCTTTGTTATCAACAAAACTGTTTTTAACAAGAAGTAGTGTAGCCTAGTTTAATTACATATTGTTCAGTGTTCTAAGAGAGATTTACAGCTTTTTTTCTTCCCACCCCTATGCCAGTTGTTGTTTAGCACACGTGGTTTCTGGATCAGACAGATGATTGTATTAGTTTCAAATTAATTGCAATGCTACATGGTAATGGAATAATATATCTAATTTGGTCTTTTTGTTGAACTACTTACACAGTTAACTAGCTTTAACTTACTGGAATAATCTGATTGTTTTAATCTTTTTGGTTAAGAAGAAGTTATGACTAAAGCTAATTACAAAACTGAAATACTTTTTACTAACAAACTTTTGGGCACATTGACTTTCATTTATAGCACTATTGGAAGAAGAGAGAAGAGCATATAGAGTGCAAGTTGAAGAATCTAACAAGCAAATAAATGTTCTGCAAGGTAAGAAATAACTTTTTCACTCCACTTTCCTAGGGAAAATATATAGCTTTAGCTGTTTTCGTGTTATTATAAGCACAATTAAGGAAAATGTTAAGTGAATGTGTGTTTTAAATCCAATTTTTTTTAACAATATCTCTGAATTATAGTTTAAAATATTACCTGTCAATTTCTATTTTTAGTTGTAACTTAGAAAATGCAGAAGTTATCTGTAACATATTCCTCTTCTCCCTCTCTCTTCAGTTTTTGTCAGCTTTGAATGATTGAGGGATTCTAATTATGACTGTTTTAGCTTCTCCTTAAACATTCAGAGGCCTTATCCTTTTGTTCTTCTCAATCTCTTCACTTTATTGGTAGAATCCTCTTGAATCATTTTTAATCCCTCCAAATCTGCATTTAACCTTAGTATGCTGTACAATTTCTTCAGCAGGGACACTGTGCTCTATGAAAAACAGTATGACCACTATCATGCTTCTTTCAGCCCAAAATAATTACAGCAGAATCAAATCCAGTGATTTATGTAACTCTTCTTCACGACACAAAAGCTATCATTTGCAAACTAGTGAAGCTCTGTATTGACAGAAAGAGTGGAACTAACCAAGTCTGTCTTGATATGGATTTGTTGAATACCTTAGCTGCTTCTACATCCTTGTGTTGCCTGCTGTTTTAAAAGAATTCTGATAGCTCAAGCTCACTCGTCAGCAGGCTATTTATCCTGCCTTTAAATTGGTAAGGGTTATACTAGGACTCTTCCTTAGAGCAAACATTAGTGTGAATACCAGTTGTGAATTCAGCTGTTGATTGTTAAACATGTAGAAACTTCATACTTCGTTCAGCTTGAACAGATGATGGTTAGAAGACATGAACAAACAGGCAGATCTAGTAACATCTATGGTTTTTTTCCCATAGGAAATAAAAATGGTTTGCTAACTAGTTTGTTGTGAGATGTGATACTTGATGTACACCAGGTACATTCACTGAGAAGCTTGTGTGATTGCACTGTTTTATAGGGATTTCAGCAAAGCATATTTAGTTCTTCTGCTATTGCTCTTCTGAGGAAGAGAAGCTTACATCCCTTCCAACCAGAGAAGTTATTAATTTTGAATTTTGTCCTGCTGATAATGAAAATCTTCCAAGAAAAGAATGCTGTAGCAGAAGTTAAAAATACAGTCTGATGGGCAGTTGTATGCAGAGCAAAGAAATATATATTTATCTATTTAAAACAATTTCTCTCTTAAAAATTAAAAAAAACAAACAGTAGAAGCTTGCCAGAGCCACGCTTAACTGCAGTGTGGCTTTGTCTTTTGGATGCTTTCCAATTTAGTTTTGCAAGTGCTTTTTGCTCATCTCTCTCCACTGTAGCTTAAGGCATTCTGATGTTAGTCATGGGCTTGCTGCTTCCCAAAGTCTCAGGGTGTGGCATATCTCACAACTTGGGAAAGGTTGCCATGATGTCATTGTTCTCTCTTGGCAGCCTCTGAACTGTAGTGGAGAAAAAAACCTGGACAGCCTCATGCAGTAATGTTTCTTGAAATATTTTCATGGAATCAGTATTTTAGGTCAGCCAGTTCTACATGGCTTCTGTGTTCATCATACAAAAGAGAGGGTGCCATAGAAACAACTGAAATCCTGTCTCTACCTGTGAAGCTCCTTAGATGAGCAGATAGGTAAAGCAAAGAAATTCTTGTATCCCAAGTAACTAGCTATTGCTTTAAAAAAAAAAAAAAAAAAAGTGCAGCATTCAGTTCAGATGAGGTAATGGTTTACATAATTAAGAGACGTAATGGAAGCTTTATTTCTAATCAACCTTCCAAATTACACACGGTGTTTCAGAGACCACTCCAGTATTCTTGCTGTGTAAGGTATTTTTACACCTCATCAAACCTTAGAAACACTTGTATATTTTTGTATGTTCGTTCATGCCATGCTTGTTTTCATGCCTTGGAATTTTAAGGCAGAGCTGTTCATAAATAAGACAGAAAGAAGAAAATGAAAATTTCTTTGAAAAACTGCAGTTACTGAGGATCAGGAACTTAGTTGAGCTTGATGAAGAAAATAATATAAGGAATATATGGGTTGAAAAATCATTCCTTTGCTTATTGATGGACTCCTGCTATGTTAGCAAGTCTAAATTCTTGGTGTTTTGGAAAAATATTGTTTCCTAGCATAATGGTTTGGAATGTTCAGAGCTTCTAATGAAACATTATGTGCCAAGGCGAAGATTAATGTTCTGCTCTCTTACTGTCAGATTGTTCTCATCTACTAGTTTGATTACTTTTCTATTAGAATAATTGTATAGAAATTGTTTCCAAACTAATGGGATGGTAATAAGCCTCATATTGCTCACATATGCAAAAAAGCATTGTGCTGCTGTCTGTCTGTTATGGAACAAATGTACTGCTTCATCTGAGACAAGATTACTGTGAAAGCCTACTTAGTATAGTCTATAATAGCCTTTATGTATTGCAGTACATAATAGCTATCATGTTTTTTTTCCATGCTGTCTTTTCCTTTCATTTATTCAGAGATTCTTTAGTTCATCTATGAGATAAGTCTTAATAAAAGCCTTGGTGGAGCCTGTTGAGAAGAGGGGGAAAAAGGCTGCCTTTTCTTTACTGTACACCAACTACTAGCAAAGTTTCTAGATTATACCTATATAAGAATTGTACTTAGATCTCTCTATATGAAATGATGGAAGGGGATCAAGCATCACGTATAGCCGTCGTGAAAGTCTCTCTTGAGCAGTTTTTATGCTGTGTCAGTTTTCAGCATGACTCATTTACACTCTGTCATCTTCTATAATGGATTGAGAGAACAAAAATAACTACAAGAAATCTGTGAAAGCTACTCAACCTTGGTTATCTCTCCGGTGCTTTCTGCTGTCTTTGTTTGCCCTTTGCTTCAGAAAACATAACATACAGCTATAAGAATATAATTCTTACCCTCTGTGGTATTTTGTATTAGGGAAACAAAGAAATTTGATCTTTTCTTCTCAGAGCAATTCTGAATTAATTTTGGGAATTGCTTTTTCCAATGATTGAAAATCATTGAAATACATGAGAACGTTGATGGGTGTACTTCAAAAAGGTAAACAAAAAACACTTGGGAAATCATATTTTTTGTTTCCATCAGTCAGAGCTTAACTATTTTATCCTTCGTACTGTCATACTTTCCTTTTAAGTATTTGCAGAGGATTCTATTTGCATGCATATTTATGAAAAATAGTCATGCTCAGAGGAGAGACGCTTTTAGTAACCAAACAGTTTTGAATGGGAATAATTTAAAAGGTTTGCTTCATGCAGTTGAGAAATGCTGAATAACCTAGCACTTATGTGACTGCTGCACGTTTACAGCCAGTCATGAACAATAAAGGACCACTTATGGTTCAGTATAGTAGGTGCAGCTGTCACTCTCATCCAAAATTCACCTTGACCTTTGCAAAATACTTTTTGCGAAGAAGTAATTTTAATTTCTTTACTAAAAGTTTGGAGAATAAAGTAGAAGCTAGACTTTGTGCCTCAAATGTTTAAAGACATCACAAATTAACTTCAACTGCTGTACGGGCAGATGTTTCCAATGTAGCTTTGCGGATCTGTTTGGCTTGTCACAGAAGCTTTCTTTCATTCCGTCTTGTCCCCTAATCCCCTGCATCTTTTTCTATAATTCTTGTTTTGCTTACAACCAAGTTGGATCTAAATATTGGTTTCAGATTTCAGGAGAGTTGCTTTTATGTTACACAGGAGAACTCTGTCTAAGAAAGCTTTGTCCAACCCTAATTCTAGTTTCCTTTAGCTCTCTGTCAAGCATGACTCCACATCTTTTTTAAAGGAAAATCATTTGATAAGGTTAACGTACTTTTAATTGCATTAGGTTTCTTTAGTGCCATTAAATATCAACAAGTTGATATTTTCAAAAATATTTTAGTTTTTCTGTAAATACAGTTTATCAAATTATAACAATGTGTGTTTTCCAGCTCAGTTGCGGAGGTTACAAGAAGATATTGAGAATCTTCGTGAGGAGAAGGAGAGTGAAATTTCTAGCACGCGAAATGAACTAGTCAGTGCTCAAAATGAAATTCTGTCACTTCAACAAGTAGCAGAAAAGGCTGCATCAGAACGAGACACAGATATTTCTGCTTTGCAAGATGAACTACAAACTGTACGAGCAGAATTGGAACGGTGGCGGAAAGATGCCTCGGATTATGAAAAAGAAATTGTCAGTCTACAAGCCAGTTTTCAGCTTAGATGTCAGCAGTGTGAGGAGCAGCATAAGGAGGAGGCTGCTCGTTTGAAAGGTACTTGCTTAATAGGATGTCACAGACCAGCATTAACAGCATCATCCTTCCCTTAAATTAGCTTAAATACGCCCCTGATGTCAAAAGTAGGCTGACTATAATGCTGCTTGGTAAACTTCTGCTGTTAGAGGAATTGATACAGCCACAGGCTTCCAAAAGAACTTGCATAAAATCTTTATAAGGAAATATATATAATTTAAACCTGTAAACGGACAGCTTTTCAACTTTTTTATAGCAAAGCTTCACTTGAGACAGTGCTGTATGGCTCAATAAAATTGTTAATGCAGTCTCCATCTGTGTTACAATACATACAGAATTAAAGTTTTATTCTGGAAGCATGATGTAGAGATATAAAAGCATTTTGTACAGATCTATGAGACTCATTCATTTGCACTTCACTTTACATGCAGTGCACTCACTAGAATTGGTTGAGAGCCACCGTTCCAGGCCTATAGCCTCAGGTCTTGGACGATCTGCGAAGGGAGTTGAAGTGCTGAAGCATTGTGCACACTGCCAAGAAGCTGGCATATGTAAAATGTGTTTCGAATTCTGGGTTAGTCAGTCTTTTGAAGCTGTCAGAGAAGCTTTTTCCAATTCAGATTATAAAATTGATAATTGATAAAAATCAATTTTGCCATGGATTGATTCATTTCAAAGGTCTCATTTTAACCTTTTAGCTATTGTTTTAAATGTTCCGTTCCACATAGCAGAGACATGTATCTCATTATTGTTCATTACTTTCAATTTGTCTCCTATTTTCTGCCAAGAAATGAACTTCAAATATGCTTTTCTGTCACTGTTTCTAACATACTAGAATAGACCCATAAATGAGACAATTTTCTACTGCTTTGTACCTTAAAGAAGCTCACATTAAGAAGAGCATTAGCTTGTGTGATAGTTTGTGGCACACAAACTATTCCTAGCAGCAAGAGATACAGTTGTATGTTTCATAGATCCTTGTGATAGAATTCATGTAACGTAATTATAATCATTTGAGATTTACAGCTAATAGCAGCTTTTCCAACATTTACTAGTGGGTCTGCTTGACGTATTAGTGAAATTACTCTACTTGGATTAAATATTATTAATTACAGGTGAACTTGAAAAGTTGAAGGCAGAGTGGACTGCTCTGGAAGCTGAATGTGTTACGCTAAGGAAGGAAAATACTTCACTTGCATCTGAACTTCAGCGACAAGAGAAGGAGCTTTCTAGGTAAGGGAACAATAGGCTTGTCTAGGAAAGTATCATAGAAGATTAAGAAGATTATTATTCTTTTTTCTTCCCAAAAGTGGTTCTTAAATATCTGATGGTGTTTGTGATAAATGGGTTGAAAGTTCCTTAGTATCACAATTTTTGGCAGAGCATACTTTCATACCAATTAGTTAGAGCAAGTTTTTTTTTTTCCCCCTGCAAATGCTTCTGTATTACTGCTCAGGTATTTTAGCAGGTATACTGATTTATTTTGCTCTTATCTTATGCCACTGAAATAAGCAAAGAAGCATGTGTGCAAGTAATTGAAATGCTTCTAATAACCTTGGACAGGCTTCTTCCTTCAAATCACAAGTTAGTTTCAAAATGCTTTGGAATATATAATAGTGAATAATAAAGTCAATAAGAAACTGAAGACATGAGAATGAAAGTATTTATAATCTGTAATATAACTTAATTTAAACATGCAAAAATAAGTGCATATGTATTTAAAAGCAAGTCTATGGCCTATCCTTTATATCAGTACTTTGCACAGGAAATCAATGCTGATCTTCTGTTCTACGATTGCTCCAAGATGATTTCTCCATATTAAATAAAAATAACGTGAAGCTCAGAGAACGAAAACTGGTTTTAAACAAATAATTTGTTTAAATTTGAGGTAGGAGAGGAACCAATTGAATTTTGTTTTTCAGCTCTCAGAAGCAGAGTTTAGCTCTAACCAGCAATATAAGTGTTCTTGAAATGTCTCGAAAAGAACTTGAAGATCAGATGGGATCTTTGAGAGAAAAACATCAACAGGACGCAGCCAGTCTAAAAAGCCAACTCAGTGAAGCTGAGAGTCAAGCAAAGGATGTTCAGAAAGAGGTAACAGAACATTCCTGTTTTGAGTTAATCCAGTGCCCTGTGACTTTCCTTTTATTTCAATATAAAACAAGTAAAAACGGCAAATGTTTTAGTAATTAAACTTTTTCTTCCTTTAATTGCAAGTACATTTGTGTTAGCTAACAGTATATAAATTGTGAGTCAAATCTCGAAGGAAGACTTAAAATGAAATGGCTTGTATATCCATTCTGGCAACTTCCTAAAGTTTACTTTCATGCATTACCTTAGTGAATATACTTATGAGTTGGTCAGTCAGGTGAACCCTTATTCAAAATGTTTCTGATCATCACTGCATTAAGTATTGTTAGGTATTACGAGTCAAAATGGATTTTTTTGTCAATATGATCTTTCTAGTTAGATTTACACTTGATTTCACAACAGACCTACACATTCTTTAGAGATCTGTTTGTCCTTTCTTCAGAATGGATCATCAGGCTTTTACAGATGATAAACAAGTGCATAAGGAAAAGCTAGCATTTCAAGCCTGACTTCTGAAAATCATGTCTGGAAGAAGGCTGTCATCTCTATCAATTACTTGTTTATTTTTAGGGGCAGCTTGAGTGAAGTTTCCGCCAGTCACTGCTGTTAGTTTGTGTTTCGCAATCCTTTTCTTTGTTTTGTCATGAAGTCATCCCTGTCGCATTCCTTACCATTTTTGGAATTTGAAAGGAGCAGTCTTGCTAATCTTTGTGTTTGTAATCAGACGAGTTTGTAAAGATGCTTATCCTTTCAAGTTACGGTAAATGCCAGTACTGAAGGCCATTGGTTCTGTGCTTTCTAATCCCTACTAGTGACAAATACAAAGAAACTTGTTTTCAATAGATAAAATTGAACACAGGATAAGCTTTTTCTTTCTTGCTTTTATAAAGAGTGCATTGATCCAAAGCAAGTTACACTAGGCACAATGTAGGCAGAAAGGAAGCCATGCACTACACAAATGTAAGCTTGTTTTTGGGTGTCCAGAGGTCTGTAGCCTTCTTTCTCTTTGCATTTAGTATGAAAGAACACAGACAGTGCTCTCAGAACTGAAGGCGAAGTATGAGATGGCTGAACAAGAAAAACAGTCAATCACAGAAGAGCTTAAACAGTGTAAAGAGAACTTGAAGCTGCTGCAAGAAAAAGGAAACAACGTAAGTCTGTACAAAATATTTGGGGAACTTTGGTTATGACACTGACAGTTTTCTTGATTAAGAGACCATCTAAGTATTGAACAGAAAAGGCTGGACTTAAAAAGGAACTATGTACCATATTGCATGCAAAATTCCATTCTGGTACTACCTATTAAATCTGTAGGTCATTACATGGGTACAATTATATATACAAATTAGATTTACAGTTGCATGACAGTTTTAAAAACAGCCTTACTGTTGTCTTGGAAAAAAAATCTAGCTTAACTACTCATTAAGAACTAGGCAAAACTTCCCAGTTTCAGAGACTGACACGTGGGTAGAAGCTGAGAAACCTGGATCCAAATGAGTTAAGCAACTTTCTTCAAGGTGCTTTTATTTTATTAGTGATTATTATGACATGTGTTCCCTGCTCAGTCTTGCTTATGCTTCTTAGCAGTGATTATCCCTGGTCAGCTCATGCTTTATATGTGCAATTGAACCATCCTTTCTATCCACTCACGGAAGTAATTCTTTTCTGTTACATTTGGATAGGTTGTGTTGTTAGTGTTGAGTTTACAGCTAGAGACAACTTCTTTTTTTTTTTCTTTTTTTTTTAATACTGAGCCTTCTGAAATCCTTCAAAAGTTAAGAGTGTGACAGATGTTATAAAGTGATTACAGTCTTTTTACTACTGGGATGGCTGGTTTCTTGTCTTCCTGTGCTGCTGTTATGAACCCCCCACATGGACAGCACAAAATAAAAGGTTTACAAGTACCATTCTCTAAAGTTATCTGTGTTCTAGGGACACAGAATAAATACTTATTCCATAGCCCACTTACTGAAAACAAACCTTTCATATAGTAGAGTTAACAAAGATGTGAAGAACTCAAAGCCATTCTCATTTTTTTGGCCGTATTTTCATGAATGGGATGTTAATATTCTCTTGGAACATACTTCTGCTTAGAATTTTCTGTAATGCCTAAATAAATTTCTGAAATAAGCAGAAGTGCAAAAAAAAAAAACTTTCTGAAAGAAGAGATCATACTAAAATAACTGCAGATGTGAGATTTTTCTGCTTTGTTAAAATATTAATCTCAGAGTTAAGTTGATTCATGAAAAAGAAGAGGAAGTTGAGGAAAGAAAAACACTGTGGAGGGAATTGGAAAAGTAGATGAAAGCTTGCAAGGTAAGGGAATTTTTAGGAAGAATTTGGGGTGATTGTCAAAATGATATAAGGAACCACAGCAGTTGCCAAAACATTTTTAAAGAAGAGGTACAGGATTTGAAGCCTGGAGGTTAGGCTGTGATGAAGAGCATCCAACCATATAAGGACTCGCAGGACGAGCTTGCTATTCAAGCAAGCATTACTCACAATCAGTAATGTAAAATATGTCTGTTTTGTGGAATATTTGAAGCATCATGAATACTGGGCTGACTTCCAAGGTCACATTTTTAAAGTTCTGTTATCCCCTATTTGCTGGAAACCTTATCTGTTACTTTATTTGTGAGGACAGTGTCCTCAAGAGCACAGCTTCCCACTGTGGGATTTATTTATTTTTGCGGCCAATCTCTGAGTTTGCATATCTATGGATTCTAATACCGAACGCATGTTTTCGATGAAGCATCTGATTGTGCATTCCTCTGCAACAGGGAGATTTTAAAAATATATTTTGATAAGCTCATGAGGGGTAAAATTTAATCATTTGAAGGAAACCCCACTTGATTATCTGGTGGACTAATAAATACTAGAAGAGAGTTCTCTGTTCCTTTTAGAACGTCATTTAAATATAAAGTTTTTATGCTTTCCCTTTGAGAAAGATAAAGCTTATTACTCTCAAAAAACCCAAAAACCCAACCAAGCAAAAAAGGAACTGCAGTTTTGTTGTTCTGAATTGCTTAGCAGTGTGGTGTATTGCTTGTGCTTGCATGTTCGTAGTCACTGATTATTTCCTGATGCGCTTTACATGAGGGATTTGTTTATGTGAACAGTTTGAGATTGTGAGCTGCTGTCACGGAGTTGACTGAAGCTTTTGGCGCTTTATTGAACACTGCTGTGATTATTTCTGCCCATGTGCTTTCTTGGGGAGATGGCACTGATTTGTGGCACCAATGACAAAAAAAAAAATGCTGCATGGAAATTAATAGTTGCACATGATTTGTCTGTCTGATATTTACCTTGAGTACAACAAATCTGAATTACTGTCATGGCAAGAATTGAATGGCAAAGATCAGAATACCTACTAAGATAATTCTGAGATTTCTGTGTTCTTAACCATATTGGAGATTCTATGATTGACTTCCTCAAAATTCAAAACAGAATGAGATTTTATTTATGGATCACAATATAAGTCTCCAAACATGAATTTATCACGTGTTTATTTGGCTGAACAACATCAAGGTGAGTTCAGCACAAAGAAGTTCTTAAGAAAATATTTAGCATGATTTGAACTTAACCTCTGTGTGTCTGTGTACGTGCACAAAATATATAGGCTAAGATACGGAGAAAGCAGATTTCTTCCTGGGACAGCTTAAAAAGAAATTAGGTCCATTTTTGCTTCTAGTGTATTGTTTTGAGGAAAGAGGCTCTCTCTCTCCAGATTGTGAAGCAAAATATTTTCCAGTTAATTGAAAATAACAGAGAAAGTGCAGATTCTTGTAATGAGGCCATAAGCTAAATGAACCCCTTCAGTCTTGCTAGCTGGTAGTTTGGCCCAGCTGCATCACTGGATCAGTCTTCAGAACTGCATTTGCTCACAAGGCTGATGCTGTACCAGAGATGCTGATCTTTGTGGTATCTCTAACGGAAATATACTTCTCTGCTTTATAGTATCTTAGTGCTGATTGTACATTGTGTTACAACCTCACAAATGTCTGAACTGCTGGGTTTGCCTGCGGACATAGTTGTTATTGATTCATTAATGGAGGAAAGAGATTGTTTTTCTTGGAGGCTGATGATGGAAAATAGGAAAGGCAGAATGAAGAAGCAGCTGAAAAATTCAGTCTCTGGTATGAGTCTTTCTGCCTTACGAAATCCAGTTGGGATTTCCAATTACTTGCACTGAAAAACTAAAAACAAATAGATATAAAATACAGGCAAATAACTTAAGATTCATTTTGTTTTTAAGTGCTAAATTCCAAGTTGAGATGAAGTTTCTTAGAGTATTTTCTCCTTACTTCCCTTTATTTTTGAACGTTCTTGTTCATTTGAGTAGAATGGTGTACTAACTTTGTATACCAGATTAGATAATGCTGTATTATTAGATGTCTTTAATACATTTCAATTAAAACAAAACTCACTGACTTATTTTCCCCTCTCTAAATCATCTTTACCTGATTGATTTATAGCACAAAGTGATTTTTAATATCCCTTCCCTTCTTTAGCCTTCCATATTACAACCCGTCCCAGCCGTATTCATCGGCCTAATCCTGGCTTTCCTGTATTGGTGTTACGGCCCATTGTGGTAGCGAAAGGTACAAGCACTACTGTTCAGTCGATGTATGTTTGTCCCTCTCACCTGTTTGTGCCATTTCTGTATAAAATAGTGCATGGTGAAATGCTCACAGGTATTCCTTTACCTGAAGCAAACCCTTCATTTAATATGCCATTCTGTTGATACTGACGAGCTGAACGATCAACTAATCATTTAACATCTGTCTGATTCCTTTAATTCTAACAATCAATTTCATCCTAACCGGTTCTGAACGTGCCTCTTCTAACTTGGTCTCAGTTTGTCTTTAGCAAATGGGCTACCTTTTGCACAGTGCTGTGATGCTAGGGCCTGTAAGAAAGCTTATTTGCTTAATTAACTATGAAAAATGAAGAGTTTGCCTCTAAATAACAATAAAAGTCAAGCTTTGGTTCTCATTTACGGACTAAGAAATTCCTCTCTGGCTGTAAACACTTTCATTTTTCTCACTTGCTGTGAAGAAGATGGAAAAAAGACGAGAAATAGGTGGTTGGTTTGTATTCTGACCTCTCAGCTTGCATTTTCTCTACCGTCTCCCAGTGTGTTCTTCTCTTACTGTCATCATAAAATGTCGTGACAATCTGCTAGAAATGATTTTGTTAGGATCTGTTATGAACTGATGTCATAGATCTGGATTTAATCCTTCAAAAGCCAAGTTAAAGATGTCAGTACTGCATAAACCTGTCTGGCAATCACTTTGCTCAAGTGCTGTTTTAAACGTCTTAAGCCCTCGCAAGTTGAACAGCCAATTTCTTTGAGGTGCGTATGGTAACGAAGCTGAAATATGGAACTGCCAGAGGTGTCTCCTGAGTCATGAAGAGTTCTGTCCTTCCCTGTGTTCACTCCAGGTCAGGGTTAGCCTGTGGTAGGGCTCGTGGGTAACGTTGTAGTGATGCCTATCAACAGGTACTCAGGACTTTGAGGAACCACGGGGTAAAGTGATTAGTATGAATCAGAGCAAATATGATATTGATTTTTTTTTTCTCTCCACACAGAGACAATGGCCTTGGATGCCTGTGATGGCAGCTTTGGTTGCTGTGACAGCCGTGGTGCTGTACCCAGGCCTAACCAGAGCTTCTCCATGAGAACTGTTGTTGAATCCATACACCGTCCTCCCTTTAGAAGCTGGCAACATTCATATACTGAGGGAAAACAGATTAATTCTCTTCCTTTTTTTTTTTTTTTTTTTTTAACCTCTTAATACAGCACAGCTCTGCGTGAGAACAGCAGTAGGGTCATTTGCTTTAAACTGTATAAAATGTATCTGTCTATAAAGAGGGAATAAAATTGTGATTCATCATACTGTGAGCAATATTTTTGCTTACAATTTCATGCAAGTTTTAAATTAGTTTGTTGGGATTCTGAATACTACAACGGTGGCCTAAAGTAGACTTCTTGGTACCAAATTATTTATAATGGCTAGGTTTGTGGGCACGTACTTTAGAATCTGATTGCCAGATTTAAAAGGAAAAACACACGCTGGATTTTGGACACCCAAGCCAAGTAACCATACAGAAGCTTGGCAAACAGATGCAGTGTGCTCAGTGCCTTGCAGTGTGATGTTCTTTAAAACTAGTACGCCATTTTACTTGCTGTTAGTCACTGAGCTGTTGGGAACAAGGCTTAAGAAAACTTCTTACCACTCCTTTTGAAGGAAACATATTTTTCTTTGATAAGGATTCTTTTATTAATGATTTTGGGGGGGGGAAAAAATGTCCAGCCTTAAAAGAGATAGATATTGATGGTGGAGACCAGCCTAGAGTATTTAGTGTGTGCGAGTGTAAGCATGTGTGTGTTCCTGAATGAACTGAGGTATTTCTGGGAGCAAATACTTGGTCATTTGATGGACATAGTGCAGTGATTCAACTTACATTAACTTTACTTTGAATGTAATTTATTAAATTTCATATATTTAAAGAGGTGCGTTCTTTAAAAGTATGAATACTTTTTCACATATCACATTGTATCAATTTATTTTTTCAGTCATTTGATACTTTCTGACTGAGCTGGGGAAGCTCTTTAAATAAGCTTTTATTGATGTAACTTCATTATGAGAACTGCTACAGTACATTGTGATTAGCTGATAATATTCTAAGTTGCATAAAATGCTACAAAATTGGAATCATCTCTGGTGATGTACGGGTCAACTGAAGATGATTTTAATTTGGTAGTAGACCTTTGTGCATCCTCATCACATGGCTGTAAGTATGATGCAGTGGTCCCCATTACAAAGTTTCTTTTCCTTATCAAAGTACTATAACTGTTGCTGTTTGCTGACTTTTGGTGGGAATCACTGTAGATAGTGCTGAATTAAATGTAGACTATAGTTATTCTGTTCAGCTCAACAGTTCTGTCAAAAAAGTTTATTAAAGACTTAAACAATATACTGAAGAATGGTAAAGTAAAATGGCTTTGCTAAGGGAAACTTCAAAACAGGGAGGTAATAATCTCAGCAATTAAATTGGCTTTAAACAATTGTATGGCAATCGACAGGTAGTTTAAATATTTAAATAGAAATCTAGTATATAACTTACCTTGTAAGGTTTTGAGGGTCATTGTCCTTTAATTAAAGGTTCTGTCTTAAGTTACATGGGATTTTCTATGGGGAGGATTACTAGTAATGGCAAAAATAGTCCACAAGTGACTTGTAGAAAATATTGTCATTTAGTTCGTTCATTTCATCACTTTCAGTTGCAGGAAGCCACCCAACCACAGAACACTCGTATGCCAGTGGTACTCAGTACCTCTTGTATATAGGTTATTGCAAATATTGTTCTGAAATGCTTACCTTCAGAATTACATTTTTTAAAGTAAATAATTGTTTTAAATCTATTTTGTAAAGATATAAAAATACAATAGAATTTCTGGAGTACAGATTAAACTATTTGCACTAACACACGTGATGTGCATGATTTAATAAAATAACTTTACTCTCCCTATGCATGTTTGAGTTGGATCTCATTTGAAAAAACAGTAGACTCATGCTAAGTTTCTTTTGTGCTAGATACTGCCATAATTACTAGGCACAATGTCTGCAGCATGTTCAGTAATACAAAAAACCTTTTTTTTTTTTTTTACATTGTGTTTCACATTTGCACTGGTTTAAGTTTTTGTCTAACTGATCTCTCTCCTCTCTGTGACTTTCGGAAAGAAAGGGGGGAGGAGAGGGCCATGAAGAACTTGGGAACATGACTGCTGGGGAGAAACTAATAGTGATTACAGCTGAAAGCTGGATTGTGCCTGAGGCCGAGGTCATGAGCTCGGAGGAGCAGTGGATTTGGAAAGCCCTTCAGGGGGAAGGGAGCCTGCTGCTGCCTTCCTGGGTTTTAGCACCCCAGCTCCCCGTTTGTCCCTCCTGCAGCCACTGTTCCTTTTGCAGTTGATTCTCTTCCCTCCTCCCTGCTGGTAGCACGTAGATGTGGTGTGAGGAGGTGGAGCAGAGGCCAGCAGCACAGCCTGCCGAGCCCTGGGGCTGGTGGTGGGAAGGGGTGTGAGCTCCTTGGGACCAGCCCTGGGGAGCCCACAGCCGCTGGGTGCCCCACGCTGAGCTGCGCTGCCTGGGACGTAGGATTGAGTTTGTATTAAAGACAAATGCTGCGTTTTGAGAAATCTTTAGTGCATCAGAGAGCTGAAATTTGAGACCCAACGTGGATGTATTAAAGGAGAAAGATTTAATTATGTGCATGTGTGCATATTTATATTGCATACACAGAATGCATAATACACATTGCATGGTGTTCATGCTTACGAGTATTCCTGTGTATCCCTAATACTGTGCCTTTCCCAGGAGTTATTGACATTTGCATGTTCAAAGTTATCAGGAATCAACTAAAATGCACAGTTCACTCTTTTTGGGAATCCCTGGGTGATGGTTGGAGAACGGGAGGTTCCCTTTCTCCAGTGCTTTGACACCGAAGTTCTGTAGGCACTCTATCCACAAACATCTCAGCTGTTTTTCCTTGTGTTTGTTATGGTAAATATCTGTGCTCTTCGACATTCAGATTTAGGTTTTCTTTTTAAATTGTGAGGCTGGATGAGCTAAGCCTTGCAGATACTTCAAGAGCAGCTTTTGACAAAGCATTTCAGATGCTCTGAATGTTCTTGTAAAATAAGTGCTCTCAGCTTGCACTCAACCTTGAAGTTTTAAAAGCTTTTTATAGTAAGAAAGTCTGAGAATTGTTAGTTACTAGATGAATTTGGAAGACTAATGTAATATCTGTACACTTGTTCTGAAGTTTTGACTGAAGCACTTATTTTTTTTTTTTCCTTCGATTTTCGTTCAATAGAAATTCTACTGACTTTTGGGGACAACTGCAGCAGCAAGCCTCCTATTTATAACATAAAGAATGCAGTGTAACCTTGCTACTCCTTGCAGATGAACTAAAGATGTTTCCCAAAACCTTGGCCTGACTTTTCTTCCAGACTCTGGGTGTTTTGGTGCTAAATGGAGAATTGTGAACCTGCACAATGCATTGCAAAGTTCTCTTACAAAGCAGTCTTAGATTTGGTATCAAATGACTGATGGCTGAGGCAAAAGGAATCATCTGTGCATGCATTTCTGGAATATATTCTTAAGTTTTGAGGATTTTTAATCAAGTCTTCCGAAGTAGATGATCTGCTCACATTTTCAGTGCACTTTACATAACATTTTGAATGTCTCCTGCCTTAATCTGTGTGGTTCTGCCACTTGCAAGAGTCATTTCTTCAGCTTGAATCTTCTCTGATGAATGTGCTGCAGCTGTGCACTGAGGCTGGCCAGATCCCACCTGTGGCCTTTATTCCCTCTGGGTTTTCGTGTACCATAGCAACTCATTTCAAGATTTTGAGACTTCATTAATATAGTGATAGGATATAGGAAGGAATTAGAAGCCATATCCCTCTCTCTCCATGTTCCTCTTCTGTATGCCTCTGGATTTGTTTGAAAAGTGATTGTTTCCAGCAAACAACTGCACCGAATTCCTCAGTCCAGCTGTTTTACTTCTCCCATTGTGTGTGTGCTTATGGACACACAGCTCCTTCCTTCCTCCCATGGCAGGAATGGGGCTGTGGTGTTTCTGCTCTTCCAGCCTTCCTGCCTTTTTTCCTTTGTGCCAAATACAGATCAGTGAGCAAATGTTTGCCCGCAGAGCCAGGATCTTCTGCTTGGAGAGGGCTGCACCCATTGCTGCTTTAAAAACCAGGTGCTGGCATAATTTGGCCTAAAATGTGGGAGCAAATCAGCTGTTGAAACAAAAGCTTTGGTGGTGGTGGCTCCCTGAGGCTGATTTCTGTTTATTTGCATAGGTGGAGGGAAAGTGTGTTGCATTTCTGATCTGGGTGTCACAATCATGAAACTTTACTGATCGCTTTTAACATCAGAAAAGCATAATGTCAAATAACATGTATTTTAGAAGCAAGGAAACCTTTATTTAAGAACTTCAGGAAAAAAATTGTCCTCATCTGGAGTACTGTGTCCAGTTCTGGGCTCCCCAGTACAAAAAAGACAGGGATCTCTTGGAAAGAGTCCAGTGGAGGGCCACAAAGATGGTGAAGGGCCTGGAGCATCTCCCCTATGAAGAAAGGCTGAGTGAGCTGGGTCTGTTTAGCCTTGAGAAGACTGAGAGGGGACCTGATCCAGGTCTATAAATATCTGAGGTGTGGGGGGCAGAGTGGCGAGGCCAGACTGTTTTCAGCAGTGTGTGGAGACAGGACAAGGGGAAATGGCCAGAAACTGCAGCACAGGAAGTTCTGCACCAGTGTGTGCAAGAACTTCTTTAGGTGAGGTGACGGAGCACTGGAACAGGCTGCCCAGGGAGGTTGTGGAGTCTCCTTCTCTGGAGATATTCAAGACCTGCCTGGATGCCTACTTGTGTGACCTGGTGTAGGGATCCTGCTTTGGCAGGGGGGTTGGACTCGAGGATCTCTGGAGGTCCCTTCCAACCCCTACGATTCTGTGATTCTGTTCGCCTGTCTAGGTAAGTCACCAAGCAGTTACTGGACTCTTGTTTCAAAAATAATAATCATTATTTGCTGTTTGAATTCATCTAGTCTTGGCTCCCCTCCATTAGACTGCAATGCCAGTCCTTCTGAAGGATGTTCTGCTACTGCAGGCGTTGCCCCGATCCAGGGATTTCACACACTGGGATCAAAGTACTTCTTAATCCTATTTTGTAGGAATGGATTGAGCTTCTTAACGTTTTTCTTTCATCCCTCTAGCTTTTGCTGACGACTTCTAAATTTTTCTAGTTTTGCAAATGTTCTTTTTTTGGATGTCAGAACAGAACGTGCTCTTACAGTAGTGACCTTACTGACATCGTGTAAACAAGAAGTTTTGTGTCCCGCTCTGATGGTCCTGTTTGGCCATCTCACACATCCCCAGCACCTTTCTGCTATTCATGGACTTCTAGCATTTGGATTTTAATCTTGTGAATCAAGTCTGCATTCCTCACATCGGTGTGGCCCTGTGGTATCTGACCTTGGAGTACTGCTCAGCAGTAAGGGCTGCAGATGAGCAGTACAGGGCAGGAGCCCCATCCCATTATTGCTTACCCCTTCACCCCTATGGGGTTGTTGGCTTTTTTCACCCCTAAGATTTGAACAGCACTGACTGCTGAAGCTTTTCTACATTTTTTATCAAAAACTGTTGAATTTTAGCCAGCTAAAACCAGAACCCTTGCAGCACAGACAGGAAAATGCTCATAGGATGATTGCATTGCTTAAGTTCGTTGGTTTTTTTTTAATGTCAGCTATTTTTAAATCTGGATTATTAGCAGCAGTGATAGTGCAGTGATTGTTTCTATTGAACTGTGAGATGACTTACAGAAGATGTGGAACAGCAACACCAACACACTTCTTGAGAAGTTGCTTTTGCCCATTACTGCCACTTTCCTCTCCAAAGCATTTTCTAATCCCAAATCAGGTCCAAATTTTTCAGCCCATTGAGTTTTGCTCACTGTTGTTTCCAGTGCTGGAAGTGAAACGTTTCTGCTGCACAGGTGTGTGTGTGTGTAACTGCTGGTGGAGGCTGTGCTGTGTGTGCTGGTAGGTGGTGGTCACTTGGAACCGTGAGAAGGAAGGGTAGCACTGAGATGAGATCATTTGGCTCTTGTTTCTTTCAGTGCCCTTTGATGGGGATTTCTTCTTTTAGGAGCACCACACATGTACTATGGGTGTTGAAATGAGAGCTTTGGTATGGAATGGAGTTATTTAAATCTTTTTGCGCTAAGTCATTAAGTTTATATTCTATTTGTATATTTCTTGTTAGAGGTTTTCACTCTGGAAAATACTTCTTTTGGATATGTCATCAGTTTTGATGTGCCACAAATACTTGTCTTGAAGGATATAATAGCTCTTATTTAAAATGTTCCAAATATGCAATATGTCTTTTGGGATGAATAAATGGTTAAAAAAAATAAATAGACAAGAATAAATCTACAACAGCCCAGCAAGCTGATCTGCATTGTGCATAGTCTTTCATTCAGCCAGACCCCAAACCTCAGAGCCATGCACTGTCCCAGCAGCACTGCAGGCCTTGGCTCTGGGGCCGCAGGGAAGGAGCGCTCCGTGCGTGGGCCCGTGCTGTTGGCCTGGCCCTGGGCTGTGCTCTGATGCATCTCTGGGTGACTTCTGTTTCTTTATTGAAAGCTAAGCTGAGCGTTAACACTTGCCTGTTCTACCAGGTGTGTTGGTGTTGGCACCACCTGTCCTCGCTGTTCTCACCGCTTGGCCTCCATAAGCGCTCAGCGAGTCGGTGGATGTCAGCAGGTGCCACTTGTTCCCACCTGGAAGAATTCATTTTGACACCTTTCCTGCAGATGCTGTTCTGTCAGACTGCCCCTCTGCTGCCCTCTGTCACAGAGCAACAGCCTGAAATGAGATACTGTGGGAATGCTCAGCCTCTGCTGCCATGCCCTGACGTTGTGTGCCAAGGCACTGCTGTCAGAGCTGCCCTCAGGCACGC